AGTGTAATTTATTTTAAATGTCAAGAGACAGTTAAGGCTGTGCCCATCTAAGTAATTATTATGTGATGGATTGGAATGTCCGTGATTATTGAACAGCTGTTTTAAGTTTGGAATTTTAAAGCTTCAGTAACCTTAAAGGGAAATCTAGCAGTGTCCAGTCTTAAGTTTGTACATCACTGATGTGTTGGGGGCTTTTTATTTTCTTTGCAGGGGATCATTGTTTTAAGTATAATCTGACTTAAATTTTACTCAGGCTCTTACACATGGGAGAGTAATTTTGTCATGATTTCATTTGCTCTTAGTAGAAATGAGTAGTAGGCTTCTTAAATGAAGTGACAGAGTGACAAAAAATTTGCTGTTATGTGGTTGATTATATGTGATAATCCATGTATCTTCTTTTTTAACTGGAAAAACTGTATTTAGAAACTCACACTATTAAAAGAATATGGATAGCATCCTCTTCAGTGGCATGGGAAATGATCCCAAGTACTTTTTTAAGTGTTTCCTTTAACATTTCTAGGAATACAGTGTTTGATTTTGTGATTTCCTGAGATAAGACATATTGGAGGTGGGGAGGCTGTTTAGGCTTTTAGTCAGAATTGCATCTTTTTAAGCTTTCTTTTCAGCAGTTTACATTTGCTGATGTGTCAACTTTCAGAGTGACAAATTACACACAAAAAAATGTATCCTTTTTTTTTTTCTTTTCATGTTTCACTGACCTTAAAGTCTGCGTTGGAATGAGCAGAGCAGGCAACAGCTTTATGTCTGTGTGAGGAAATCTCTGTCTTCCAAAGGGTCATGGAAGAGAATGTTTTTTCTGACCTTAAATAGCAGTAATCCTGAGTTGACTAGTTTTTACCTTGTATTCGGGTTGCCTTTGGAAACAACTTTCCAAAGTTGCATTGTGTATGGTGAGTGTTTTGGCCATAATTTTGTGGTTCGCCATCACGTGTGAAGGTTGAGTTTGTTGCGTATGTGAAGATTGTTGAGTTTGACCCAATGGGCAGTTGTAAGTTTATCTTATTCTCCAGTTAGTCAGCTATTGCCTTGGAACCATCTAGATGATGAAGAGTTTCTCTGTGCTCTCAGCTGGCATATTTGATGCAGTTGTTGCATGGCTTCTAGCCCCTGGTTTTATAAAACTTGCAGACTGTTCTGCTCATCGTACATGATTGTTCTTCTCAGGTTACATACATCTATTGCTCTTTTGGTTTTATCCTGTGACAGGGTTTCTTTGCAGAATCTTCTCAGTCTTCCGCTGTCCTGAGTACTAAAAAAGCTTGTGCAAAAACTTTAATTGACTTAAGTTTGCTTTATATAGTAATTAAAGGGTGATTTGTCTTTCAAATAATGTTGTATTTAAATATACTCTATATTAATAGGAGTGAAAAAACACTGCTGGTAAAAGTTTGAAGGGCTGACTTGCTGTACCTACAGCAAAATTCTTGAAGCCTGGCTTTCTGTCAGTCCACTGTTCAGTGTTCAGATTTTCTTTGCCAACAGTCTAAGGTGAGGGACAAAAATTGTCTTTCCAGTTGATACCTATAAAAACATGCGGAATAATTCCTCAATGTGGCTAAACTGACTATTCAGTGCTGTCAAGCATTGTTATCTGTTTTTCTGAATGAATTTTTAAATGGTTATGATTAATTTGCTAAACCCTTTAAGGCTGAAGTAGATCTGAAGTAGATTTATAAATCTTGACATTGTCCAGTTTTTCTGCCTTTTTTTTATATTACAGGTTGGTGATGCAGCGTTAAGCATCCTCTGTACTCTATGAGTGCCAGAGATCTCTTAAGTGCTCGTGCTTTTGAGCGCTTCAAAACAAGGGCTTGCTCATCGCTTTTCAGCAGTGTAGACACATTTGTTTCATCTGTGTGTTACTAGTCCACCTTGCCCTGAAAGGCAGTGAGCTTGATTGGAGACGGTCTGTGTGCAGTGATATTGTATCTTCCCTGCTAATTTAGTCTCTTTTCACTCAGCTGGTGAGGATATGGACACAATTTGCAAGAAAGTTGCTTAATTTTGATACCCTGAACCAATTGATTCTCTTGTTCAGCAACATAGCTGTAGTCATGAAGTGGCAAAGGGAGGGCTCTGGCTGAAGATAGAAGGTGAACCTACCTCTACCTTTCTGTTTGTTAAAGCTGTTGCTCTGCCGTCTCAAATAGCTCTGTTTGAGAGGTTTGTCACTTCTGCATCTGACTCTGGTGAAGCACCAAAGGAATGATGAAGGTGATGCCTTGGAGGGGCTCTCAAAGGTTGAATGTGCATAATCTGAAAGTGTACCATGTCACATCGAACGAGTTGTTTTTCTCTGTTGGGAGCTTTAAAAAAACCAACCAACAGTGTTAGTTTAATGCAGCCTGGCTTTTAATGGGGGCAGAGGAAGCCACAGAGGCTGCTTCTGAGAGAGAAGCTCCTTGAAGCTTCTACTGTGTCCACCAGAGCCAATCCCTGGAGTCTCTGGTGATGGACATATTGGCTGGCCCAATTAGAGAATTTGGTAACACTTCTGTGATGACATATTTAAGAAAAGGAAAAGCCATGCAAGGCAGCTGCTGGGGCTATGCTGCTGGGGGCCATCCAGGCACCACAAGTGGCTGGGACCACGCAGCCGGGCTATTTCGGCATGGTCTGCGGTGAACTGTGCTTTCTTGACCGCTTTTAACCAGCCATGCTGCAGGCAGAAGGGCAGGGGTGGCGGCAGCAGCAGCTTCTTTTTGGTGCCACGCATGAAAAGAGGCACTGAATGGAACCGGTGGCCAGTGCTGGAGGGGACCACACAGCTGACACTGAGGAGCACGATGACCAATTCCCTGATGCAGAGCCCAGATAGGATCAACCTTTCAGCATTACAAAACCCTATAAGAATTTTTCAACTGATAGAACTTGAGAGCAAACAAACCTACAAATAACAGTTCTCTCCCAAGTTAGAGAAAAGGAAAAGGTGAAGACACGTGATGAGACAATGGAAACGCTAAGATCTCTGAAAGGAGAGAGTGGGAGGAGGAGGTGCTCTGGACATTGGAGCTTAGATTTTTCTACAAGCTGTGGTGAGGACTATAATACAACAAACTGTTTCCCTGTAATTCATTAAGTGCATGGAGGGATGTAGAGATCCACTTGCAGCCCATGGGAAAAGGTGCTCATGCTGGAGCAAGTAGATACTGAAAAGCTGTAATCTAGTGGGAAACTTGAACAGAGAGAGAAGACCTTTGCTTCCAGTGTTGGAGAAAGGACCCTTGCTTCCAAAGTAGAGCAGCTCATCCTCAAAGGATTACCCACCATGTACTAATGACCCATGAAAAACAGTTGTGGGAAAACTATTTGCCTGTGGGAGGAACTTGCATTACAGGAGGTCAGGCAGGACTACTACTCGTAAAAATTAAAACCACGCTAGAAAAGTTCACAGAGAACTGTCTCGTGTGAGGAGGACTCCGTGGCACAGCAGAAAAAAACCAAACTCCTTTCTCTAATCAAACTGAAGATTTTTTTTTTAAAAAATAACAAACTGACTAAAGACTCCCATGTTTTGTCTCTGTGCTGTTGGTGGGAAGCTGGAGGGAGGAAAAAGGTGTTCTAGAGGTTTATCTTAGTTCTCATTATCTTCTTTTAATTCTGTTAATAAATTTTCTTTATACTGTTTGAGCCTATTTTGCCCTTTAGTGTTTTCCCTTAATCTTTATCTCAACCCATAAGCTCTTCAGTTTTTCTTTCCCCTTCCTCTTCTCAACTATAGTAGAAGAGAATGAGTGTATAGTTTTGTGTGGGTGCTTGACGTTTAGCCAGTGTCAAATCAAAGCACTAAAAAAAAAAAATAGAAAAGAGGAAGGTGCCTCTTCTTGAAAGATTTAACTTTCCTGTGTCCTTTTATTGCAGTGCATCAAGTTTCCTAAAGACTTGCAGTTGGAGAAACAAATCCAATATGACTTAAATGTGGAAGCTGTCACTTCTAAACTTGGGAAATTGTTAACTGACTTCACAAAGGATGATCAAAATATTGCATGTAATTTATTCAGGAAACAAATACACATGCACACACCTGTGTAGGCATTGTACATCTGTGTCATATATTTGTGTATGTTGTGCTGAGTATTTTCACCTATTTATTTTTTATTAGCAAGCTATGCTGTGTCACAAATTTATTTTGATGAAACAGTAGCATTGTTCTTTTTTTTCCTCTGTAAGAACACAGAATTGGAATTTGAACTCAGAAATACTCTGTCATAGCAAAAATGGAAAAGTAGTATTTTAATTTTATGGTTCTGTGATTAGTGGTACTTCTTGATTTTTCTAAGATTTTCAGAGTTTGCATGTGCATATATATATATTTATGTGTGTGTGTGTATAAAATAATATGTAGAGAGAATTGGGAAGTAGAAATGTTTTCCAGTAGCTGTTTTCTAAAGCCTGAAGTCTGATAGTGTGGTAAATTGCAGTATCTGATCATGTTTTCTAAAAGACACTAAGAATGTATCTCTTAATGCATTTTTTAGTTTAAGGATTGGTGAACTCACATTAAAATGCAATGGTTAGGGGTGAAAGTACTGCTCAACAGTGATCTGCCTTCGCAGATACTATTGATGAGTAAACCTGAGTTGATGCATTTAGTGGTGTTTGAAACTTTTTCAAGCTAGTACAAAATAGTTTGGAAATATCAATTGAGTTAACCCTTGTTATCTCTGGCTTCCTACCTGGCTTTTGTTAGACTATTAGCAGTTATAAAGAATGTGAAATTTCATATGATCAGTGTCTGATAGAAGTCTTCATCCCTGTCCGTATCTTTAGACAGCAACACAGGCCAAAACTGGAGCAATGAAAACTTGTGCTTTTCTTGCTATGCTGCAGGTGAGATGGAGACACTTACATGAAAATGAGTTGAACTGATGTGAAAAATCTGCACGTTAAGGTAGAATCTAAAGGTAGGCATGTGGTCTTAATTGGCCTGCTTGCTATTCAGAGTAAGTAACTTCAGTAGTTCTGGACATAGGAGGGACAATGAAATTCTCCTATGCTTTCCATACAACTATTGAATAAGTACTTTCTATATGCAGTTTTGATTTTTTAAAATGTTCTTAGTTTTTGTTAGGTAATAGGTAGTGACCATTGTGGATAGATGGATGTAACAAAAAGTAAATGGAAGTCCTATGAAACAGCTGGAGAAAATCAATCTGTTAGGGCTACTTTGAACTCGTTGGAGTTTTGGTTTAGAGATGTTACAAAATAAAGATATCTATAACAATGAAAGTAAAACATATTCTTCTATTTAAACCTATGCAATTGTGATTTTAAAGATGCAATTTCATCAGCCTAAGCAAGAAAGTACCTTATGCAAGTCTTTAATAAGTTAGTGGGTTCCAGTGGTTATTTTGTGGTTCTTATTCTGGCAAGAAACTTTGAATGACATTGGAGTTCCTCATTGTGGGGAGCTTCTAGTGATATGGAAAACTTAAGTTCTTATATTGATATGGAAAGCTTTAGTTCTTTTTGCAATGGCATAGAATAATCAATTATAACAAAGCCTATGTTGGTCATTTAAGAATTCACAGTAAAGTACTGTTGTGTTGTAGATAATTTCTTGATGCCATATCTATGGTGAAGCCAAAAAGGTGATTAGCAGAACTATCTATTAGAGTCACTTCACCAACTGGAAGGAAAGGTGATGGAGTTAAAGTTGTGTTTTCAAACTCAGATCTCAGGTTGCCATCTTGCATTAGTAGTTTGTAACACAAACTACTATGCAAGACGGCACCCTTTCTTACATTGCTGTTTGTGTTAAGAAGGACCTTTTCTCACAAATCTGTCTTCTCTTCCTGGCTGGGATTTTCTAACTTTATTTTATCTGTCTTGAAAGTTATTGCTGAGTAAGGGCTGTGAAAACAAGATCAACAGTAATTGAAACTGTTTACTCCCCAACTATCTGCTACTTCTGAAAGGGCATTCAATGCATTGGTATTGTAGGAGATTTTGTACAAAATATAATTATGCTTAAAATTATTATAGTAGTCATAAATCCTTCACAAACTCTTTTTTTCACAAATATAGCATTTCTTTTTGCTCAGGTTTTGTAGATTGATGTAGGTCTTTGACCTGAGCTTATGAAATGTTGTTATTCAAAGCAAGAAGGAGCTTGAGGACTGTATTTTTGACACAATAGCTTTCATCTAGTGTGGTTTCTTTTTAAGTGTATGCCTCAGAAAGGGAATATATGCTTTTATATATGTATGTTATTTTTATTTTTGACTCAGTGTCTGTATATTTTACTTGTAATCTGAATTTTTTTTTTTTTTCAGAAATGCAATTTTTAAATCATGAGCATGTTGTCAACATGACACAAGTCTAAACCCTTGATTTGATGTTTCAAATAAAAGAACAGCATACTTTTAATAAAGGACTCAAGTTCAGGGTGTTTTTATCAAGGCTGTGTCTATTGTTCTATGCAATCTTCTGTAGTTCTTTTTCTTCCCATGTAAGATAAACTGTAAAGTTATAGGGAAGCCTGTGCATTACGTAAATTTTGTTAAGAGAATGTCTTTCATTTTGCAGGGGTTCAACATGCAGAAGCTAAAAAAGTACTATGGTTTAGTTAAAAAAAAAAAATAGTGGTATGCAGTGGGACAGTTGCATTCTGTTTCTTCCTTTGCTGCATTTGTCCTTTTTGTCTACAGTTCAAGATGCTTCTCTAATCACCTACCACTCTCATTCTGTTGCCCCATTACTTTTTGCATCTTAAATATGCTTCTTGCTACTGTCCCTGAGCTTTTCATTTGAGGTCAGTCTTACTACATCGGTTTTGCCCATCATTTTTCCTTCCTGTGTTAAAAAGTCTTGTTCTCTGCTTCTGTCTTTGCAAGGTCTCCTGGTTCAGCTCCTGCATCCCTGATGTTTGAGTCTGGCTATTTGGGTATGATTCGGATGATATTAAGAAAAATAAAGATGGTCTTTCTAGTTTCTTTAGCATCAGAGGGATGACTGCAACAAGTCCTGCTGTGTTGCCATAGCAGTGGCTGAAGTATGCTCATTCATCTTGTGGGAATGTTGTATGTGGCGTGTAGCAGTGGGATAGGAACCTAAGATTATTTGTGTTTGCTAAACACAGATAAAGATTATTGGAGGGGAAAAAAATTAAATGCAATGACTAGCAAAGATTTATTGACTAAATGCAAGCTTTTTTTTTTTTCCCCAGATCTGCGACATGTCTGTATTTGGAAGGGTTACTTGTGTGGAAAGCATGTTCTTACTCTCCGTGACCCACTGCCAAATATATGCACTTTGGTGGAAAGCATGAAAATACTAGTGCTTCCAAGTGGCTAGAAAAAAGTACTTTAAAAAAACCAGCCCTGTTCTTGGAAATGGCTGAGCCATTTTTGCTGACTTTGGTATGTAATGCTATCCCTTCCAGCTGCAAAAGTATGCATGTGACTAAGGAACCTGAACAGCAGAAGGCAAGGTCCTGAGTTTAAGCTGATTTGAATTAGTTTCTTGAACCATGTGCACTTTGAAAATAGCACCTAATGCCTTATGAGTTCCTGTTATTTATAAATCTCAATTTCACCTAGTTTAGTCACAGACTAGCTAGAAGATACAGCAAAGTGCTGAATTCTACTTTTTGTGAGAGCATGTTATGTACACTATTTTCTCTTTCATATTTTTTAGTATTATGGTAATTACTTTAGTATTTCGGTGTTGTGTTGTCAGGATATGAAATGATGTGACTTAGCCAGTGACAAACACATGTTCTTCCTGCAAGGGTGGTTGTGGCGTAGTGCTTCTTCTGTTGAGAGTCTTATCATACACGTGCATGCGCTGGAGAAACAGCAGCACAGTGCATGTTGCCTTCTGTTCAAAATACTGGCTTGGAAAGAAAAATAAGGTGGGCTTTTAATGTATGTGAGTACACATTCCATCACCTTGTATCAGTCTTTAGAATGTTTTATTCATCCTGTCTTCTGTATAAATGAAGCTGTTTTTTTCCTAAGGGACTTAACTACAGCTCCAATGAATGTTTCCTCTTTATGGCTATTATAAGCCCAGCTGTGCACTTCTGTAAAGATTATGTCTGGAATTGACTTATATAATTCAGAACATGTTTGAACAGCAGTGTTATCAGTGCAGACTTGCTGAGGAACTACCCTGCAAAATTGCCTTAGTTTTAGCATGTAGGGAAGCTGCACAGCTTTGCCCTCGCTACTTTTGCATTGTCAAGAGCTGACAGAGGCTTGAGTAACATAATTTTGTCCTCTAGCAGAGTATGAAAGGGTTTTCTCACAGACTTGAGAAGTGTCACTAAAGAGCCAGCTGGGACAAAAGCATAATTTTATATTACAAGTTAGATTGATCAGCTGGCAGCATATACTTTGGATCAAATGAAGCTGCACTGCTGTGACAACTAAGTTCCCTAAATGCCTTTTTTTTTGTTTTTATTCTGTTCCTTGCTAACTGGCAAGTTTGGCTTTATCTAGTTTCTGTCTGCGAATTCAATTTACCTAAACATGGGGCCATCTTGGTTGTCAGTGGTCACCCTGAAACACACTGATAGTGTAGAGGTGCCACTTAGCTATACTTGACATGTAATGTCACATGGTCTTATGAACTGACCTCACAGCTGCTGCCAGATACTGAAAATCTTGTGGGATAATTGACAAATGTTGACTTGCATACTTCAGCAAATTTCTCCACAATTTATTATCACCTTTAAAACGAGTTCAGGAGACATCCTAAACTTCTGCTATCCATTCTATCTTTTTGCTATCCGGTAAACAGAAGTATTTTGCTTGCAAAACTCTAGAGTTCAATCTGATTTGTAGCAGCACTTTAATACCCAACATTCTGTAAAAGACATTATGTCCCCCACAGTTTGTAGAATATTCTCATATATGTGAGGTCTTACTAAATGACATCTTTCTTACTATTCTTATTTTTTGCTCAAGTCTTGCAGGTACTCTTTTGTTAAACTTCGATGAGGAGCACTGCCTGTTCCACTGATTTAATAAGATCTGTACTGCAGGTTTTGAGAGAGTTTATAAGCATTATATAAAGGAAGGAGATTACCTTGTGTGCACATGTGTGTATGTCCACTATAAGCATCTAAGTCTTTCTTAAAACTCTTGATTTTCTGGATGGTTAGACAGGTTACTGAGGGATAGTCACTACATCTGAGTCACTGCAGCAGTTCTCAAGCACGTTTTCATGGAGTTGTGCCTGCCTTCCCTGTTTAGGAGGCAGTTATGGTGTTGTCCTGTCCACTGCTGACTGGACATGAGTGAGTGTTTGCAGCTGCTATTCATGTTGTTATTGTTGAGTGGGCCACAAAAATTAAAACATTGATTCTAGCAGGTACATAGCTGTTGCCACAACATCTGTAATTGAAAGTATACATGTCAGTATCTTGCTGCTAGGTTGTGGAAAATCTGAGAATAATATCCACTGTGTTGCTTTGGGTGGGGTGGCTTTTTTTGGGTATTTTGTATAGGGAAGAAGAGCAGGACAGCAGTGTACTGTTTACTATGGTATAGTTCTAGTAGTCTGGCTTTGGTAGTTTTCTCCTGTGACTTTACCTTGCATTTGCATGGACCTGACACTGATCTAGCTAGGTACTGCTGTGTCCTTGAAGAAGGTGCAGTTTGACAACGAAGTCTGAGCTTTTTTTGCACGTTTCCACTGCCAAAAGGGGCAATGCCTTTTTATGTCTTCCCTCCCTCGTTCTGTCACTTGCAAAGTCTTTGGACACCTATGGCTTAGTGAGTCTGCTCACCATCACTAGTGGTGAGAAACACTAGTGCTTCTTTAGGTGGCAGCAAGCTGTTAGATTAGCTCAGCTGTCTTGGGTAAATGCATCCTTAGAGGGTCTGGAAAGAGTCTTAGAATCAGAAGTATCTCCTTGACTGAATAGCAGTGATTCTTTCTAAAACACTGGATCTACATGAATAGGCTTAAACCACCTATAGAAAAAGATTTCTCTCTTTATTCGCCAAGGCATAGACTGGTCTTTCTTTCTCCTCATCTTTGTTGGTTCTATTGGATTTGATTTGGGAATGCAGACCAGGTGCAATTTGACCTTACAAAGAGTAAAGATCCTCTTTAAAAGCCTGCTTTTGAGTGCTGCTGTTGGTTTTATTCTCACTAATGTGCTGGACCAAGAGATTTTACTGCACAAAGGAGAAAATCCAGGGTAAGTGCTTCCAGATTCTCAACGTAGCCCTCATTTATTGAAGGGCAAACAACATTACTCAATTGTCACTTGAAGCAAGTCTACCTTTCAGGCTCTTCTGACAAATCAGATCTTTTTCCAAATAAATAAAACAACTGTGAAGGGTCTTGATGTACTTAGACAAATACTCAGTAATGTGGGTTTTTTCTATTTTTTATTTTTGGTGTATGTGTTGTGTTAGACATAGTGATAAAAGTAGGTCAAAAGCTTTTCAAATATTCAACTGCCATTGGAAATTATAAGTGTTTTCTCAGCCCATCTCTTAGACAGCACAAAAGTTCTGGCAAAATGTTTAAAATTTTTCATCAACGGCTGGACGTGTTCCCAGTAATGGTCCAGAGATTAGGATGAACCCTAATGAAGTTCCTCTGAGGAACTTCAGAGGATGAATGTTCTGTCATTAACTACTAAAACTACAATAACAAAAATCACCAAAACCAAAAATTTGGTTTTGTGAATGTGACTAGTTTTTGAAGTGTGTTTTCTTTAGAAACATATTTGCTGAGGGAGTGGTTTAAACGTCTTTCCCAGGTTTCTTAATGACCATGAAAATGCATAGGGAGAAACAGAGTCCTACTTATTACTGCCCAAAATTTTGATGGGACTAAAGGATGTTATTGTTGTTTATTAAGCAAATAAATTCTGTGTACTAAATATATGTCTGACTATTGCTTCATAATTGAAACTGATTGTTTCTTGAGTTATTAAAAAATCAAAACACAACTAGGAGTTCCCCTAATCCTTTTTAAAATAAAATATTTTTAATAGAAACAGAACAGTCAAAGTAAATGCTACTTTGAGTATTAATGCAACATGTATCTAAGAAGTTGAAAGTTCCAATACAAATGTTTCCTGAGTTAAAACTGTTGAACAAATGAGTGAGGTATCTTGGACATAATTTTGCACTTTCTCACTGGAGACCTTGTTGCATGTGTTCTTGATTTCCATCCCTCTTTCCAGCTGAACAGGGGTACTTCTGTGTAGATGAGTCTCTAGACTGTTAGTGTGTTAGAGGAAGAGTGTATTTAGTTGATGCATTATATTTACAGGGTATAAAGAATTCTTGTAAAGACTTTGTCTTGTAGTTAGGCAGAAAGGAGGCATGTGCTAATTTCATGTGTCACTTATAACTAGGCTTCTGTAACTTTTAAAATCCAATTCTTTTTCTATGTCTATTTAAGATTTTAATATAATAGATTCATTAAGAAATGAAGAGGCATGACTTTGAACAGACCAAGTCTTTTCTTTCCACATGCACAATGAATTAGTGTTGAAATACATCTGTATTTTTAGGTTGTGAGTTGTATGAAGTAGTTTGTGTGAATCACACTTGTACATTTGTGATATAGGAAATAATTTAATATGTGCATGACACTTAGTCTGCTTTATGGAGTTAAGTTCTTCATGAAGCTATGTTCCTCAGATGGACAGGGACAAATCTATTACCACAATCTACAGTCAATTCTCTAAGCACTTTTGTTGGCAGATGCATTCCATGAAAACAAGAACAGGAATTTCATGTAATTGGAAGAATAGCCTGGAAGCTTAAACATTTAACTATTTTAAGAGAGCAGGGAACTGAGGTCGTGTTGTGTACCTGTGCTAGTGCCTCTGATCTCTGTTCTTAGTTTAATATACTAGAATACCCTTGTCTTTATGTCAAATATAGTAAGATATAAAGTAAGATATTTCTCTTAGAAAGTAATACCATTGAGAATGTACAAGCACCAGAAAAATACCATCTTGGCTGTAATGTTATGCTATCTTTAGGCATTCTTAGAATGGATTATCTAGACTTTGGAGAGGGGTGTGGTTTGGTGGTTTTTTTTGGTTTTTTTTGTCAGCACAGGATTCACAGAATCACTAGGTTGGAAGAGATATTGAAGACCATAAAGTCCAACTCAGCCCTAGCATTTCAACTAAACCATGGCACCGAGTGCCACATCCAGTCTTTGTTTAAACACATCCAGGGATGGTGACTCCATCACTTCCCCAGGCAGACAATTCCAGTACTTTATCAGTCTTTCCATAAAAAAAACTTTTTCCTAGTATCCAACCTATATTTCCCTTGCCACAGTTTCAGACTGTGTCCACTTTTTCTGTCAGTTGCCGCCTGGAGAAAGAGACCAACCCCACCTGACTACAGCCACCTTTCAGGGAGTTGTAGAGAGTGACAAGGCCACCCCCGAGTCTCCTTTTCTCCAGGCTAAACACCCCCAGCTCCCTCAGCCATTCCTCACAGGGTTTGTGTTCCAAGCCCCTCACCAGCCTCGTTGCCTCCTCTGGATGCGCTCAAGCATTTCAATGTCCTTCCTAAAATGAGGGCCCAGAACTGGACACAGCACTCAAGGAGCAGCCTCAGCAGTGCCAGGTACAAGGGAAGGATGACCTCCCTGCTCCTGCTGGCCACACCATTCCTGATCCAGGCCAGGATGCCCTTGGCCTTCTTGGCCACCAGGACACACTGCTGGCTCATGTTCAGCCAGCTGTCACCAGCACCCCCAGGTCCCTTTCTGCCTGGGCACTGCCCAGCCACACCGTCCCCAGCCTGTAATGCTGCGGGGGGTTATTGTGGCCAAAATGCAGGACTCGGCACTTGGACTTATTAAACTCCATCCCTGGGCTTTGCCCATCCATCCAACCATTCCAGGTCTCTCTGCAGAGCCCTTCTCCCTTCCAATAGATTGACACACAATCCCAGCTTAGTGTCATCTGCAAATTTACTAATGAAAGACTCAATCCCCTCATCCATGTCATCAATAAAGATATTGAGCAGAACTGGCCTCAGCACAGACACCACTGGTGACTGTCCCCAGCTGGGTGCGGCACTGTTCACCACCACTCTCTGGGCCCGGCCATCAGCCAGTTCCTAACCCAGCAAAGGGTGCTCCTGTCCAAGCCATGGGTGGCAGCTTTACCAGGAGTGTGCTGTGGGAGACAGTGTCAAAGGCATAAACATAGGCCATGTTTGTTGCTGTCTTATCACATTTTGGGAAACATAAGTATTCTATTTTCTGTGCTGTTTGCTCTTTCTAAACCACCAGGTTCTCTTTTCCCAACTCTGCTTTTAATCATAGAAATGTAATAACAGTCCAGTGTTAACTCTTCTGCTATTCTAAGGCCTGTAATGCCCCTTTAAAAGTAGTGGAGAAGACAGTCTTTTCAAAGTGAATTTGTTAAATAGTGTGTAAATTTTGATGATACCTTTTACTTTATTTATACAAATTTCAGTAGTATTAAATTCCTCTGCTGTGTTGTGCAAAATGCATTGTCAAACTGATGAAGTTGTGCAAAGTGATCTGTGAAATGCATTAACAGCATTCAGTATATGTTTAAATAATAGGCTTGTGAGAAGAATGGGGTAACACCACATAAATGTTTTCAGTTGCTGCATGTCTTGGATTTACTGATATTCTGTCAGAATTTTAGGATTTATGTTTTTCTAATTATAAGTGTGTCAGAATTTCTGGGCTGTCTGTGTCTAGGAAAAGTAAAATGGAGTAAAAATTTTCTGGGGAAAAACAAATTTGAAGAGCTTCTGTTTTGTTTCCTCAGTCTGTTTTAGTGAATTCACAACTTCTGTTAAAATAAATGTGAACTCAAAGCTACTTCTTAATTCGGTATCTAGATTGTATCTGTTGAAATAATTTTCTGTGGATGTATGCAGAGAGCAGAATTCTTGATCTGTCTTGAAACTGACTCAGTTATAAGGTGTCTTGGGACTTGCCAGGTTGAAACATGTTTGAGTATAGCTCATGGAATTTTTGGCTTCTGTAATGCATTGCTGAGGTTTTAAGATGTAGGGCAGAAGGGATGTTCTTGTATTTTGTATATAAAAGCATCTATACAACACACTACTGCGTGATTTACACTTTCTGGGGCCAAAGCCGCCTGTGCAAATCAGAGTGAAAGCAATAGACCACAATCTCCTAAATTCAAATGTGGCTTTGTTGGTGTTACCTGTTCTAATTTCAAGCAAATGTTGCTTGTTGGAGGCATTAATTTTTAAAGAAGCAGCTTGACTTGGGTTGGGTTTCCTTTTGCTTAGCTTGCAAAAGGTGGAGGTCTGGACAGTGGTTGTTCTGCCAACAGAACTTGCCTGTAGCTTACAGCATTCGTTTGGTGTTAGTATTTGTGCTAGTAACCAGCCTACAGTTGGTGCCATGTATTAATGAGATCTTTTGATATAATTTTAGATCTAAAAATGTGATAGCAGTGTAAGGAGGAAATCCCTTAAAGCTAGGCTTTTCTTTCCTTGTCTGTTCACTTTCCCCTACCCTCATTTAGATTGATTGCCATGTTCCCTTTGGGGAATCAAGTAATGTCTAATAGGAATATTGAAGCCATTTTGAATTCTAATTGCAGATGTCTAATTAGTTTCACAGTTTTGACCATTTATTTTACAAACTGCCTGTATTTTGAGACTCACAGATCTGAGTCCTGATTTCTTGGGTTGCCTAAGAAAATGAGAAGTATGTATATGTGATGAGAATGTGCAGTGGAGCTGCTTTTCTAATATTAAAAAAATGATCCTTAAAATACTTCTGTTGCCAAGATCAAGCAATAAAGACTTGATCAGAAGAAAAGCTTGGGGAAGCAAATTCTGTGTCTCCCTCTTCTGGATGTGTTGGTGGTAAAGTATTGTAGTTTCTGAGTGAAACTGGAGGAAGTTTAGTTGAGGAGCATGATTGTGGCAGTTTCAGCTCTGTCCCACTGCTTTGTCTAGCAAAGGTGTCGAAGTGCGAGCAAACCTCAGTTGATTTGCTTCAGTTTTGAATGCTTAAGTAGCAGATCTTGGTAATCTCTGATTTCTTCAATGTCTTCTGAAGTTTTAGTTTGTCCTTTTAAATACTGGTAATTTTTAAAGCTTCATATAGTTTTGAAGAAACCTGTTGTTCCCTCTGGGGCTTGGGTTGGAGCTTTAGGTGTATATACTATCTCTACTGTGACTACAGGAGTTTTGAAATGCAGGAGATTCAGTCCTTGGTATAGATATTCTTTTTTCAAGTGTGTTTCGTTCTACATGTATTAAGTAAGTTTCCAAAAAGCATGTACTTGCTATTTCTTATGTAGGGTCAAATTATTTCAACTTTTGTGATGTGGATCACTGGGGTGTACTTCATCTGTGCTATCTCCTTCACAAAGTGCATCTTCATTCATGATACTGCACTACACCTAGGCTTGTGACCTGTCCCTTGTTTGATACAAATTTCTCTACATGTTTTACTGAGTGGAAATAGTTTGAATTATTTACTTCTTGCTTTTGTCATACAAATATAAGCTGCTTTCATTTTTCTCACTTGCCACTACTACAGTGACTCTAGGTTTGTAAAACAACCAACTCTTCTGGTGCTAGAGTGTTTAAAGTTTGTTCCTTCAACTACTTGCATAGGACAGTTTGCAGGTGTTAATTACTGCAGTGTGGCATGGGGTCGTTTGCATGGAAACTTAGCAATATGTTACATTTTTAAAAATAAAAGCACCAGTGGTAGTCTTTAAACACTGCAAAATATTTGCATCTGTCGAACAAAAGCAAATTTTGAAGCTGGAAACATCATGCTACACAGCAATAATGATACTTATAAATTGTAAATGATCTCTTTAACTTCTAATATCATGTATTTCTACTTTACAATGGAGAATACTCATTAATTTTTTTTATTTTCAAGTTGCAATCTAAATTAACTGCTTCTATGTTTTCCAGACTACATTTTGCAAGATGAAGAACAGAAAGCAATGTATTCAAGATACTGAGGATCAGATGCATGAAGGCATGGAAGGTAAAGTTTGTGTGTGTGAAAATATTGAAGCGTATTATTCAGGTTCAAGCTGTAAAGGTCTGATTTTTTTCATTTGCCCTCTCAATTAGTATGCTGCTTGTTTTGAAAGAAGTTTTGTAAATATAACCACTCTCTCATAATATTTGGTGTTGGCCTGTGAGGTCCCCAAATAATTTCCTGTCTCTTGTTATTACTTGTTAGCTTCTAGTAGCAAAACAAAAATGCTGATAGCAGTTACTATTCAGAGAAAACGATTATTCAGTGTAAAATTCCTTGAAGAAGAGTTCATACATTTTTGTATTCTGAAAACACTTTCTAACTAACAAAATTGGGAGCATTTTGTATTCCATGTATGTGATTAGGTAAATATTTGAAGCTATTCAGATTAAGGTAATTCTAAGACAGAAAAACTAAAGGTAGACCGTATATATATATGTAAGGTAATGAATATAGAATATGTTGGTGTAATTTAAGTCATGGAGAGAGTGCAAGCACACAAGGAGAAAGAACGCAGGAGAATTATGTCTAAATGACTACATGACCAAGAGGAAACACTGTGATACCTGCTTTATTGAAATATCCCTCTAATTAATTTTTCTTTGTTTTGATGGCAAAGACTGGTACTGTAGTCTGTGAAATAAGTTGCTTAGCTTTCTTCATCTGAAATGCAGTTTTCTGTAGTTGCAAGCAAGTTGAATTCAAATTTTCAGGTCTAATGCAGCCAAGAAGCTGGCCAGAGGAGTACTTGATAGAATTCTTACTTCTTTATTATTCAAATCTAGAAGGACTTTGTTTCAAAAACTGTCAAAACTTCTAAGTGTCAGTGTTAATAATACCAGGTGAAGAAAATGACGAAAGCTGTTCCTGTTCTGCGTTATTGTATGATGGCAACACGTGCCCTATCTGTCTGAACTGCCTTCTAGAACAAGAGATTGGGTTTCCTGAGAACTGCAGTCATACCTTCTGCATGACTTGTATTCTTAAATGGGCTGAGGTAAGAATGAGCACCAAGGTGTGTTTTTATTTTTCAGTGGAATCTATTGCATCAATACCTACTGATATTTTTTTTCCTTAAAGTTACAGATTTTGGCTTTGCACAGAAGTGTTCAGTGACCAATTTTTAAATAGATTTTGGGAAACTTTGTTCTTAATGTGATAAAGTATTTTGACTTTCTTTCACTAGACAATTTTACTTACTATAGTAACTTAATGGTTGCTTGAGATTAGTGATAAGTAAACAGTGGTGTTGGCTGTTTGGAAGATCAGACAGTATTACATACATACATACTATAACATTGCATTGTTATTAGCTTAATCTTTGTGATAACCCTTAGGCTGTTTGCCATAGTGTCAACTCAGGGCTGGGACCAACATGTATTCATGTTAGTCTACAAAATGAGTGATACAACTTTAGTTTTCTACCTGTAAAGACAATTCAGCTAAAAGCTTTACTGCTGTTTTGGAAAAAAAGTCATTTAATGATAGCTGGTTTTTGTTCTATGTCAATAACTTAGTAGATAGTTCTGGAACATTAAAGAAAAATGACTGGAACAAATCCTTGATGACCTTCTTCTATTTAGTCCTTTTTCCCTCACCTATGTTATGCAATCAGTGCATTTAGTCTGGAGTCTTTACCTTTCCTGTAACTTTTCCAATTATCAGTATAAAACACCAAATTAATTTTGCTTTGTACTAGGACAAGCAGGGGTTGCTGCCTTTTGCCCTGCTTTTATGGACTTGAATTAGTTTGTCTCTTTAGTGAGACCACTGTTTGGTTTCTTTGCAATATCATTCGTTTAAAGCAAATTATGATTTTGGTTGCAGTATTCCCTTTAGAACGTTGGTATCACTTGTTTGGTATGTATATATGCGATATGCTTATTCATGTTATGTTTTAACTTTAATTTTTTTTGCTATTTATTAGTGAAAGCCAGTGGTAACACAATTCTCTGAAGAATTTTTATGATCTTTAGAGTATTAAAAAAAAGGTTATTATATTGAAATTACTTTTGATTTACAAACCAGATAATAAACAGTTTCCTGATGCCAGATTTTCTGTTTTGCATTTGATTCATTGGAGCAATTTGATTTGTAAGGGAAGAGGAAATTCTCGCCTATAATTTTATCCTGAGTGACTTAGGTGGTTGCTATAATGACAGCTGAAAAGCATTAAGCAGTGACATGCACAGGGAAGCAGTACAGTATATTGGCTTGCTGCTGGATTTGAGTTTATTCACATCTAACAGATGCTTTTAAGCCCAATGATGAAGAGAAATTTTCTTGTTCTAAAGGGGCAGGTGAATGATACGACATTTTTCTTGTCACATAAATTTTATTTTTTGTGGTCTGAGGTGCTATTCAAATAGAATAAAAGCAACTTCTTTTAAAAGTTGACAGGTGAAGTAGATGTGATGTCATAAAAAAAGATGTGGGGGTGTTTCTAAAGCTGCATGAGACTGCTGCTGCTGCTTTTCATTAGATCAGATAGGTAAAACCAGCCCGGCTTCCTTTTCTGAGGTTACTTGACAGCCAGGTCTGTTGAGTTCATGGAACTCCATGGATTAATCTAATAGTTCTAATTAAAAGTAAAGTGACAAGATAAGTGTTGAAACCTTGGTGACAATTCGGAGGCTTCAGCTGTGAGAAGCAGATGAGCTTCTACAGATTTGAATGATAGAAAAATATTATAAGCATGTTACCATTTAAAATGTGTTGATGCTGTGTGAGTTTTGCCTGTTACTAATATTTAGTAACTGAAGGTGTTCTTTTTTGAGAAATATTGCATTAGGGTTAACTTTTTCTGGTTCTTGGTTGATCATAACTATAATTTAAGTCATTCTGAGTAATGAAGATGTAAAAAAGATACAAAAATTACCTGCTGTTTAAAAAAGACACTGGCTGATTCTGGGTAAAGATTAAGTATTTTTTGAGTATTAACAAATTGCTTTTAGAAATGGTATTTTCTTCTTTAAGTGCTGGAGGAAAACAAAATTGAGAATAAAATTATTGAATTAAATCTTAAAAAAAATACTAATATTCACATTATTTGATATAATATGTTCTTCTGTGTATCTCAGTTCTGCTCCATACATTTAGAGGCTTTGCCAGCAGTCTGTGTTTAAGTTGGGTATTTATTTTATTTTTCTGTGTTGCATCTGGATTACAAATATGACAGGATAAGCTGCTTCTTTAAACTGTTGTTTTCAAATTGAACATAATCATTGTTCTCCTGAGAGTTTATGGCTTTTTTATATAACTGTGTAGATTCTAATCAAAATCAGGGTAGTTTAGGCAAAACTGCTCCCTTTTCAATCTACAGGAGATTTTCAACATTGCAACTGCAGTAAAGTGTCCTGTACCAGCAGATCTTCTGTCTGAAAGCAGCAGCCATAACACTTTGAGCATCTTACTTTTTAAGAAGTGAGAGAATATAGATGAAAAAAAAAAAACAAACTTAAAAGCAATATATAAAAATCACCTTTATTCCAAAGGCTAAAGAAGAGTAGAAAACTTGGCATGGAACAGGTCTAATACATTAGATTCTGTTGGCTAAATCTGAACATATTGTTTCAGAATTAAATGGCTTTAAATTGAGTCAGAACTGTATTTTCTTTCCCTTTGAAAAAAGATATCTAAATCATAAAAGAAGAGTGAGGGGCAGATCAAGAATCCTCACAAAGGAGTTAATCTTCAGAGTAACTTTTTAATATGTCCCCTGAATTGTTCTGTTCTCTTTGGCTGTTAATTGTGGCATTTGAGAGCATTGCTATGGACAGAATCAGCTGCCTATGCTGTTCAACTCCTCTGTACTATTAGACTGTCAACTTGTGTGCCTTTGGCCATACTAACTAGTGCTCTCCCAGTCCCTTCTGGGGGCTGTTCTCAGGAGGCACATGAAGATTAACATAAATGTTTGTCATCCTGTGCCAGCTGTCAACAACTTCTGTAAACCGACATGGTGTAATTTACTAATGAAGACTTTCGAGCTTGAGGCTTTGTATTCCAGTGAGTCTTTGCTGGAAGATCATAAAAAGTAGAAGATGCTAAATCAGGAGCTGAGGTTACTGGACACACCCTTCAGTGAGAATGTAGAAGGACAGTGTAAGCAAAGGGTTGCTTTCAGTGTAAAGAGCATATATGTGTTAACATTACTCTGGCCACATAAAAAAAAGGGAGAGGGTCTAGCCAACAACAAAAATTCCCTATCTAGAGTCTTCAAACACCACCAGTAATGTCATGTTACACCAAAGGAAGCAATTAGATTAACGTGTTTCTGTCATCTGTAATACTATTAGTATATTAATACTACTTGGGTCAAAACTAATTTCTTAAACTTTTTTTCTGATAAACTTGTATTTTGTTTTTCCATTGGTAAGCACATGTTGTAGTTTATTGGTTCTGAAAGGATTTAAGTTAAATTGATACAAAGAAAAGGTAACTAGGTATCTGTGGCAAGCATGCAGAAAGTTGTTAACACTGCCTCAGCTAAGACAACTGCTTTAGCAGCTGCTTTAGCACCTGTGGTGTCTTGCCTGTATGCACTGGAGAACAATATATTTGTTTTTCTATTCTATTCAAAGAAAACAGTCTTAGAAAGAATAAATATTTACTTTACTGTAGGCTTCTTAGCTTTCTTTCTGTTCTTCAGAGTGCTAAGAAATGTACTGGAGATTTCTATCTCTGTTCTTCTATTAATTCCTCTTATGAGCTGTCATGAGAGATGAGTGTTGAAGAAAAGATTCAGTGTGTTGTCTGCATTATTACAATGTTTGTGTAACAGACATTGATTTGAGTGACCCTCACCTATTAAGCTTATTTATCTCATGCTCTGGTCTTGGTTTCCAACATTATTTTTTCCCCATCTGGAGAATTTGAAAGTGGAGTATGTACAGTCATTAATTCTCCAAAGCATTGGGGCATATTTAGGTAGGCCCTGTACAGGATCTGTGATTAACTAAATAAAATTAAGCAGTTGACACAAAGAACTGTCTTGCAGTGTGTTTCTAGTGGATGTTCTTAGGTGTTTTATTCATAGATTTTGATGATCAGTTCTTAGAGTAGTCATTGTCTTTGTGCTCATACAAGGTTTGGATCATTGAGTATGTGGAGTATACTACTGCAGATGTATATTCTTCTGAGGTTAAGGAGAGTTACCTGTATGGTAACTTGGATTCTTAATGTGTATGCTTTCAGATCTGGATTCTTTTTTTCTGAAGGATATAGGAAGGAATCCACACTGATCTGCAGTACAGAGCATTGTGGGCAAGATTTAAGATGACACTAATGAATAAAACATGGATTGTGTTCAAAGAAACACAACCTAAAACTCTGAAAAGAATAGTGGAAAAAACCTTATTGTTCAAGTACACCCAAAGTGATCTATATGTAGACCGTTCATCTGAGAACTGATGTTTAGAAAAACTGTATTAATCAAATTGTGTTAGAAAGTGTAGATTTTAGATACCTTTTTGCAAATTACACATTTACGTTGTAGCATACAGTTGTTCTTGGCTATTTCCCTGCTTAAGCAGGGGGGCTGGGCAAGATGACTTGCAGAGATCTCTTCCAACCTCATCCACTTGGTGATTTTGCAAGAACATTTGTGTAGCAACTTATGAATGCTAGTGCTGTTGAGTTGCAGTGCAAGTGTCTGAGTGGTTTTCATTTTACTCCAGTTCTTCCAATAGTGTCAATACAATTAAACTTAATTTGTCAACACTTTATGGCAATTTTGAATTGGAACTTAATAACTAGCCAGCTGTGTCATGTAGGTAGAGAGAAGAGAGGTGTTTAGATTTGTAACAAAGTAGTCTACTGATTAGCTGTTAAAACTGTAATCTGTTCTTTTGCACTCTATACCATTCCTATCAGTGATTTTTCCATCCAAAAAAGACTTGTCAGAAATAGTGCTTTCTTAAAGTATAACTATAAAACCTTAAAATGTACTTGCTTTTTAAAAGTAGACTGAAAAAAAGTAATGGTAAGTTTTTACATGCTTCTAGAAAATAGTGCATTTTCTGATGTCTTTCTACTTTAATTAAATTGTGGAGAGGGTGTTTCTCACTACATGTGGTGTAATGGTCTCCCTGTTCACTGAAGCTGGAGGTGTTACTGTGGGCTGTTTGCTGTACTGTTATTATAAGGTGAAGTGAAATATACAGACATTGCTTTAACAGTCTAAAAAGTCTGAATTTAGTTAGGAGAATCTGGTATTATTTGTGTTTAACAGATTATCTAAAAGTGCAGGATAATGTTTCTTTTTGTATCAGCTTTTCAATATAAAATTTGGAGAACAGATTTTATTATGAGACACTTGAAGAAAAAAATTTGGGGGAAAAAAATTTACTGCAGCAACTTCAATTCTGTACTTTCATGTTGTTACTACTTGTTATGAAACCTCATAACATGGAACTTGATGAGATGGGGATAATCTGTCAAAGTTATCAGCCAAATATGTTTTGGGGTTAGCTTGCACCTGTTTGTATAGCTTTCTGAAAATTCCTAGCTGGAATATAATAACTGCTTCTGCCTTTTGTTTACCTCACTTCATTCAAATGCTGTTTAAAGTGATGCTGTTAAAATATGGGACAATTGCTCCTTGAGTTTAGACACCACTGTTCTGTGTCACTTTAGCAGTTACAGGAAGATAGAAATTAAGTTATGCCTGTGGAGCTAAAGTAAGATTTTTCTAGTGGCTCATAAAAAACAAATAAAATACAATAAAGTTGTTTGGTGTTTTTATTTGAAAAATGAAACGTATTCCTTGTGGATAACTTTCCAGGGCTTGCAGATTTTTGTGAATGCTTATGTATTTTATGAAGTGAATTCTTCAGATATCACAGGACAGGTGAAAGAATGAATTACTGTGGAGTAATTACCCAGTTTAACAGGAAAACTCTCAATAGTTTCATGTGGAGAATAAAACATTCCAAGACATTTTGAAGTGTGCTGAGCTAGTAGTGTGTGCTTTTCCAAGGAAAGAGCTGCTCAGAAGCAAAGCGAGCACTAATACCAGCGCTGAGGTTCTAATGATAATGATGATTACATTAAGTACTACATGTTCTGATTTTTAAAGATATGGTGAAGAAAGATGTTCTAAAAGTCTGTGGTTCTTCTAAGGTTATGATACATTTCACATGCCTTCTCCCTTGCGTACAATAAAAGTGGTAGCTGATCCTCAGACTTGTTCCATCTCATCATCTTCTTTCTTGTTTTAAATGTTCTTTATCAAAAAGTACAGTGTACATTCACTGTTACTTACAATGTTCCCTGAATGGAAACCTCAGAAGATTGGAATTGCTAGCCTGCCTTTGATGAAAAAAGACTCAATACCTTTGTTACCTGACCCATGTTCTCAAAAAACATAAGAGATGAGTTAAAGGTCACCACTCATCATAATTGTTTCTTGCAATGAATGTTGACTTTTTTTACCTTTATTCCTTTCTTTAGCAGTATAAATCATGTCTTGATGTTGGGAAAAGGGATAGGGGGAAGAACTTTGGGGTTTTTATTCCATTTTTTCCAACATTTTAAAGGTTTGATTTTATTTGTTAGCAGACAGGTGAGAGCTGATGCATGTTTAGATAGAAGTAATCTCTAGTTTCCCTCGGGGTACCCAACAACTGTACTCTACCTGGGGACTGGGGGTGTACAACTAAATGTCCTGAGTCTACTGGAATTTCTCATGTGATAATGTTGTCAGCATACAGAAAATGGTAAGACTACAAAAAGTGACAGAGTAGGAGTGGAAAGAGCATCTGCTGTTTCTGAACATACTGGAGCCTAATGGTAGTTTTTGACTCTTTCAGAATGTTTTCCTCCCTTTTTACCACTGTGAAAAACTGTATTAAGTTGTTAAACATGGGTTCAGAAGAACTGAGCATTGAACATCTTTCTAGTGGAGCAAAAACAGTTGTTATTTGAATTGCTGCTAGTAATGCTTAGTATTTTATGATACTGTATTACAGTGAATAATGTAACTTTCAGTGACTTAAACTTTGGAAGATAACTTGACACTCATGTAAATTTAATGTAGGAAGAGATTGCATTGGATTCATTTCAGCTAAGGTAGATCCTGAAGTGAGAAAAAAAAACGGCTAAGAAAAATAACTTCCTCCTACCTATCTTTTACAGTCTGGTATATATAAGAATGAAAATAAGTATGTACCTTGATGTTTGCAGTGGATTCAGAAACTCCAGTGCATTGCATGCTATCAAATATCCCAATGGAACATTGCACTACTATGTTACTGTGGGTTAGTGTGCCTTGACTACAGGACAAGAACTGTGTTCATTATCCGAGTCCTTAGGGAGCTGGCTTAATTACCCAATATGCTTTTGTTTTCTGGGGCCATGACACTGTAGAGAACAGTGGTATCCCCCAAAACAGGAAGTTTTTAGTTAGGACAAAATACCAGAGCATCGAAGGGCAGGTGATGGCTTTAACTTTTTTTTTTTGTTGTTGTTTGTTTGTTTGATTGATGGGTTTGGGTTTTTTTTTAAATCAGTCTTATTTGGTTCTATCTACTTCAGTTGAAATCAGAAGCTCAGAAACTTCCTGAATATGCTCCATGTTTGGGGGCTGGTATGTGAAAAAGAAGTTGAACATTCCTTGAAATTGTGAAAAGAACAGAATTAACTGGAAAATTAGACGGCCCGATGAAAAGACAGGAATGAAGTTCATAACTGGATTTTTGGGCAGAGTCCATATGCAGGTTTTTCCTGCCTGCCTATGTAGTTCTAGTATGGCATCTTGTTTGCATAAAGACCCTGTAGCTCTCTAAATTGCAGAAATTATATGCCTCTTCAGGGCATGCAGTTACTCTACTGGTTGTTGTTCAGTGAATGAGTTAGGGCTGGAGACTGGGTGTGTGTTATGGTTTTATATTTTGCTTTACAAATGTTGCACTGAGCCTCTGAAGGCCAGTGGAATTAAGGTGGGTGTGGAGGGTGTAATGATGACAAAACCTCCAAACCAAACAAAGAACCATGCCCCCACAGCAACCAGGTCTGGAATTAAAAGGAAAAAAGAATGCTCTCACAGCAAAAGTTAATATCTAATGTGGCTTTTTCTTAAAGCTGATTTACTACGTGATCCACTTATGTGGCGCTTCAGTTGAAATTTCCCATTTCCGTGGTTAATTATGTGTTACTGTTCTGTGTTTATCTGTAGTGCAATAAGAGAGCGTTTAGGTGATCAGGGGAAAACAATAAATGGCTATTTCCATCAAACAGTAGAGTAAAATAGCCTTCAGTTCCCTTTTCTTGAAAATTGATTTGTAAAACTTCAGATGTGTTACATGTGGGAATCTGTTGTCTGCTGACTGCAACAAAAGAGATTATAACCTTTTTGCATTACCAGTTTTATGTTTTGGGGAAGACAAAATGCAACACACTTCCTGTTGAAAATAGAATTAAGAAATAAAATGGTAGTACAATATGAAATGTAGAGGATGTTTGCATACTATTATGCTTTTCAGTGTGTTATCAACATTAATCTTACACAGAATCCAAAGCAGTGTACCAGCTATTAAGAAAAATCAGTTTTATCCCAGTCAAAATCAGGACACATTGGTATAAAATCAGTTACCTAAAGGGAATTAAAAGACCAGAAAATGGAGGTAACTTGATGTAAAATACATTAAATGCTTTTCCTTTTTTAAACACAACTTCTGGGTTATATTTTTGTTTCCTTTAGATTTTTTCTGGAAAAGCAATCTGCTTATATAAAACAAAATACTGAGTGTATGAATAATGTGTCCAAATGCATTCTTACTGTGAACAAATTGGGATTTTGTGTGCTTCTGTAAGCTATTATAATAGTGAATAAAACTTTAGAAAATTAGGACTTCTCTTAGCTCATTATCACATTTGTAATAAGAAAAATAAATTTTCAGACACAGGCTTCATGTCCTATTGATCGCAGACCATTTCAAGCAGTGTGCAGGCTGGATGCATTGGATAAGCAGATAAAGGTATGTTCCAGACTTATTTTCTTAAATAACTTCCCTTGTAGGAACGTCCAAGTTATGCTGCTGCTTTTTATTCATGTAAAATGAAAAGCATTTTGTTAAATAAGCTTTCCTAAAAAGTAATTACTGTTTCAATGTTTCCATTACATATTTGAAGCTAGGAATTATTCTTAATTATTTTTTCAGAGCAAGTATTTACCATAGTAATAATAACCATAAAACTGTTGTTGCTACTTTTTAGTATCTGTGAGCATTCATGATACATCCAAGAATAGAAGTATAGTAATTGGTCTCTGTTTTTTAAACTAGGTTTTGTAAACAACTGCTATACCAATTATATTAAATGTTGCCCTTTTTTTTGTGCTGAGGTGAATCTTCTGTGTTCACATCCTCCAATTCCCAGACAAAAACACATAAAGGCAGTAGGAATCAATGTTAAACGTTCAATCAAAATCTGAATATTTTTCAGTTCTGAATTCTTAAAAATACTGATATGGAGAGTAGTTTATCAAGTAGGAAGAAACCTTTTCTGATAGTTGATCTTGAAAATGCATATAGAAAGATGCTGATAATTCCATGTACAATTTGTAAATTTTGTGATGAAATTATGCTTATGAGGATTCATAAGCTGCTGGTCTTGCACTTTGTGATATTTAGAAAACAGGCTTCCATTACTCATTTCTTGTACTTCTGGAGGCCCAGGCATTCACCTGTAAAGGAGCCATGCTGGCAACTAGGGATGATTCCTTCTCATAGGAAACCATGCTTGCATATTTTGTCTTCTTTATTTTTGAAGAATCAAGGAAGGAATTGAAATGGGATAAACTGAAGTTTACATTTGGAAAAGTGTAAAGACTGTATCATAATACAGTTTGAAAGATTGTCTCTTCACAGAATTGCAGTGTAAACAGTTGGGCAGAGGAAAAGAAGAGCCACTGGGGCCGTAGGAATAGATGGAATGTGTACCAAAATATACAGACACAGCAGTCAGCATCATCAGTGGTGCTATCAGGAGACTGGCAGCTTTCTCTTCATGATATTCAGAATTAGAATGCTAATATGTTAAGGGATTGCATAAAAAGCCAGATTTTGGGGATGAGGAAATAAAGTTTCAATTACAAATAACTTCAGAGTGTAAATAAAAGCTGTATTGCTCTCAGTGCTTTTGAGATGTGAAAAAGACCTCAGTGTTGTGAAGTTATTTTACTCTAGAAGAAAATTGGATGTCTTTTAATTATGAGGAAACATTAAGTTGAGTGGTAGTTCAGCATTTTCCCAAGGTGAACCTTGTGTATTCTGAACAACCAACTTAGTTTTAAAAAACTTAGCTTACAGATTCTTAATGGAAACTAGTGCTTAGCTCTGAGACACTTGCCATAGCAATCAGAATATTCAGGGATTTTTTCATCCTGTGAACTTAGTAAGCATCTCAGGCATTGTCAATAACATATCAAGGTGTAGGTTTTTTCTATTTTATGAAAAACAAATGAAAAATACAATCTCCAAACTGTGACATCAATGTCAATCTACTTCAAAAGAAGTAAAATTTGAAGTGTTTTCTAGTTCTTCTGTTTGAGTTTAATTTCTGTACAGACCTGAAGAGACTTTGTATGAATTTAAAGCCCAGGTGTCATGACATTCTAGATTGGATTGATTCTGTTTTACAACACAGGTTCAGGTTACAAAACAGCTAAGGAGGAAGGAGGAAGAGGAAAACTGTGCCTGCAGTAAGGAAACTTACACCCATGTGAAGATGAGAAGTTTTGTGAGGTTGGTCGGCCATGTAATTTCAAGCATTTGAATTGGAATATTCAAAAGAAATAAAATCAAATGGTTTAACATGTACAGCCTGAAAATTTTGTAAAATTATTTTTATTTTAAAATATGTTAATTTTCACAAGTGGTAGTTTAATTTTACTTGTATCATTGCTGTAATTCCCACTTAAATAGTTAAAATAGCAAGGGAAAAGTAAAGGGCAATGTATTTCTTGCATTGAGCTCCATTAAAGTTGCATTTTTCAAGGAATTCTGATAAATTTTACATTCATTTGAAGTATGGTTACATCAAATTCTAACAATATAAATTTTTTTCCATGTTTCTCTAAACAAACATCCACTTTTCTTGCATGTTATCATAAGCACTGGTGATGTTCCTCTTCTGTAAAACATAGTTGTAGTCAAGAACTGATTTTGTTCTAATAAGCCTGAGAGGGAACATGTCTGTTGTTATATGGAAATAACATTTCTGTTTTGGTAAACTTCATCTTGTAACATTTGCTGCATTGTGTAAGGGAAAGTTCAGGATTATACAGATGAATTTTGCTAAATAGTGCTTATCTAAAGTCAGTGTTTAATGGAATGTATGAAAAATACAGAGTTCTTGATGTTTAATGTGAAGCAGACTTCATTACAGCAAAGATATCTGGAAGTAAATTATCTTTTTTAACTCATAAGAAATAAGATTCACCATTCTGAATCAACACTGAGTAATTCTTAAAAGGAAGCAGGTTATGACATCTTTCACATGTTGCCATGAAATCAAACTAAACTGAGCATTCTGATTTAATACAGGATATGAACTTTTGTGTAAATTGTTTTTTTTTTTTCTGTCTAAGCTGTTTGAAGCACTATGGCTTTTGATATACAAAAGATGATATTCATGATGCAAGGTTTTAATAGCAGTTAGAACTTGGGTTATGTGCACAAAATAAAAATAACTTCAAATAGGAAAGGATTTTGTTTGGATGCCTAGAAATTGCTTTTTTAATGTCTTTCTTTGATCTTGCAGAAGAGCTGAATGTCCAGACAGAGGGCCAGTAACAATAAAATTAAGCAGAATTGTGAAGAAAAAATACAGTAAGTTGATATTTGCCAGAAATGCTGTGTTCTAATTAAAGAACTCTAGAATATCTTTTCTTGATGAGCCAATTTAGTTTTTAAAAATTGCTTACATTTGTATATAAATTCCAAGTAGTAGAAATATGGAACTTCTAGAGCAGAATTGCAGTACGTGAAACTCCTGTTTTTGTATTACTGGAAAACTGCCTCTTCAATTTCAGTCACAACTCAAATGGATGTGGTTTTAGCCTCAAGTAATTTTCTGCATCAGGCAGCTGGAGAAGATCTAATGACTAGCTTTTATTCACAGAAAGTTTTTTTGTTGAGAGTTCAAACACAAGCAACACTTAGCTGTGTTTTGGGGTTGCTGTTCTGAGGGGCTTATTCAATAAAAGTTGTTTGATAAGTCTATTCATAACTTAGGAAATAAAGAAAATACCTGAAGAGGTAAAAATTACTGGGTATCTAAAAAGCTATTGTGAAGGTGTGTGCATTTTCATTTTACTCAGTTTGTATGAAAGCAGTCAAAATACACATTTTGTTAACCTCCCATTGCATTAATGATTTTGATGAACAATCAAGAACTGATATGCTAAAGTTAAGATCAAAGTTTTGTTCCTTGTTCCACAGGTAATATTTTGCATGACAAACAAAACAAGAAAGCTTTCTCTGTGAAGATAAACAAGGTTGGTTCTGATAAGGAAATACTTGTAAATGCTTTCTTTTATTACAGTGTTTTTAAGACTACCTTCCTGCTTATTTTTAAGGTTAATGACTATTTGTTAATTTTGGTATGATTCAAACTTTTTTATTTTGTCTCTTTTTGTCTTGAAGTAATTGGAATATAGTGCCAGGTTATATGAGCTTCTTTCTCAGATTACAATTAGTTTTGTCGTGGTAAATATTTTCATTTAGATTAGGCTATTACGTTATAATATCCTTAACCCTGTTTTCATCCATCTCCTTTCATCCAAAGGAAGATGGTTTCATGTACAATCTGTCAGCCAAGCCCCATTATATGAAGGTTTTCATTATTTTCAATAAAATATATAGACGTAGTCAACTAAGTAATTTATGTGGGTCTGACATAGACATTATGATTTGCATCAAATTGAGTTTTTTTAAAATGTGAGATTTCTGTCAAGAAGGGTTTCTGTTTCCAGGTTTCCTGTACATAAATCATAGCCTGTAAACACAGGATCACCAGATGCCAGATTTATAAGGAGCTGTAAAGGCTTTTGTTAGATTTTTTACCATCCCTCCTTTCTAAAATACTTTGTGTCTTTGAGACACAAGTTTTTGATCAGTGCTTTCTTACTCATAGTTGTCCCTGTAAATGCATGTGCCTGATAAATTTAATTGTGCAGTACATATGCCATCATTCTGTCTCACCTGAAGTTTGAATATTTGGAGGAAAAGTTTTGTTCAGGTCCATGTTCTGGCTATTGCTTTGTTTCATGTAGTATGGGGGCACATCCTGCATATTTTCAGCAGCTGATGGCTTGAATTGTAACTTCTGTTTGATGCTCATTACACCATAGTTGTCAGGGATATTGTTAGCTGCAGTTTGCCCCTTCTAAGTCAGGTATTTGGAAATTTGGGTTCTGTTGCCCTGTAAACTTTTAAGTACTTTTCACTGCATTGGGGGGGTTTTGAACTGGATAGGGCTTAGATCAGCCCTAATGTGACTTCATGGCAAGGGAATGCTTTCATTTTTAGTTTTACTGGTTTATGGTGAAGTGTTTAATAGCATTAATGTCTCAAATAGTACCTATAGCAAAAAAAATATGCATAAAGAAAAGTAGAACCATTAAAAACCTTCAGGAGGAAGCATGGGACTTTATTATCCAAGAAATGTTCAACTTTTAAAAGAAATCCATGATGTACTAGCAACTACTTCATAAGGATATTTGTGGAACATCTGGATAGGTCTTTTAATTGGAGGGAGAGAGGTTAATATTAAAAATTTATATTATTCTTAGAATAAAATGTAAACCCAACAGGTTTTAGGCAGAACTTAAAATTTGTACACTGATGAAATAGGGCATTTTCCCTGCAAGAAGCAGCTCTGTGTGCCTAAGTTTGATGTAGCATATGGATAATGACTGCATATTGAGACATGTATTCTTATATATCCCACTGCAAAGTTTATTTTTCATTTTTCTGAATTAAAATTACAGAAGTATTTTAAACTCTTATTCTAAGATACCATCCTAGGGGATGAACAGGATAGTTTTAGTTAGTTTTGAGGTGGTATGAGCCCTTTAGGTGCTGTGATAAAAATGGATCAGTGTAGGTATTTATTAGTGTGGGGAGAGTATCTGGGGACTGTTGACTGTTTTTGGGGTTTGTTTTTTCCCCTGCAGGCAGTGCAGTGCCCAGCAGCAGAGCTCCCTGCATGCCTGCAAATGGCAATGGGCCAGCGCACACACCAAGGCTGCGCCTAGTTAGCAACATAAAGTAGTGGTGGTGGTGGTATCTTTTGAAATAAAAAGTGGGTTCTGAGTGTTGTGCCTCTGTGAGGGCCCAGTAACTAGACACACCAGACAAATTTCATATTCCATAATCCTACCTGAGGGCAAAGGTGAATCCTAGCTATCCTCATTAGGTTTTCTTGTTACTTGAAACAAAATATTTGGTGAATTGCTGTGCAGGGGTGTGAAGGTGCTTGAACTATACTTACTGTGGTGCATTAGGTAGCAGAATTGTGCAGTAATGAAGATCATGCTTATTTATTCATAATGCCTATGTGAAGTATTAAAGATTTTGCTTTATATAAATTATTAAGTTTATCTGCAAAGAGCAGTTGTTAAAAACTTAGACTGAATAGAGAAAATCTGTCCACTGTAACTGCAAATATCTACATATACCTATGGTGTCTGCTTTTTATGAACTGAAGTCTTGCTGACCTAATTTAATTTCAGTGCATGTTCATGTATTTAGTGTTAATTATTTTATTTTGGGTGTCTTTAATTCATCATTTATTTTTTGTGTAGCCCAGAAGACAGACCTGCTGGAATGAGCGCATCAGAACTAATTTCTTCAGCACACTTCTGGCTGGTGGTAGCAGTGAAGAATCCTTTTTTAGCTGTAGAAATGACTGGTTAGTGTGTACTAGCTTCATATAAATTGATGGGTAACTGTATTGTAGATTCTGAAGTTCCTTCTGCTCTTACCTGTATATATACTGCCTTGAAATATTTTGAAGATTGGCAGAGTATTTATTCATTGATGAAGAGCATTAAAGGATAAACACAAACATTTTAATATGAGTAATGTTAAGTGCACACCCCAATTTCTGTTATGTGTTCAGCATCAGAAGCACCCACTTGAGTATTTTAATCTTACTGATTTAGCAAGAGTTTTACTTTTAGTTCATGTTTAATTCCTTGCTGAATTGAAGCCTTGGATTGGAAAGGCTTAGCCCTGTTACTACAACAGCAGTTACTGAAAAAGTTAATAGTAAATATCCTGGTTTGTATCAGAAACAATCTTCTTTTCTTTTTTGTTGTTCTTTAATTCCAAGAGGAATACTTTAAACATCCATGAAGCAATTTTGCGTTAAACAAAATACTTAATTAGGTCTAATACTTAAGAATGGGTGTATAAATAAATTGTTCATTGAATAGATGGAAGAAAAAGAACAGTCTAAAAGAATGTTATTTGGATTATATGGCCTAATCAAAAAAAAAAAAAAAAAAAAAAAAAACTATGTCTGTTTTTGACAGTCTCTAAAAGATTAACTTTCTGCCATGATTTTTTTTGTCAAGGATGCAAAGTTTCTCCATCCTTCAACTCTCCAGCAGACAGATTTCATCTCCTGCTTTCCATTCCATCTCCTTTATTTATTTAGGACTTCTTTTATGCTTGCTGAGACTATGTTTTTCTTCTAAGCAATAACCAATGCATAGTTTAATCGTGACTGTTGAAAGTTCTAATACAGTTAAATTAGAGTCCTTGGTAGGAGCAGTTACTGAAATACAAAATTATTATAGTACAAAATTACTTTTTATAACTTCTTGTATGAAATTTGTCTTTCAGTACAGAATTTACAGAAGTCAATTCAGGGATCAGACAGAAGAGACAAGAACTGGAATTGTCCTGTTCATCTCTGATTGCTAGAGTTGAAAGGTCTGTGTTTTAGATTCATAGTGGATCTTCATGCTTCCAGTTTGATTTATTCAAATTGGTCTTTAGATAGAATATCTAAATAGTGTTTTCATTTAACTTGTTAATTTTTTGTGTATTTGCTGCTTGGTGTTTTTATGTCAATAGATTCTTTTCTTTATGTCTTAATTGTATGTCTTGATTTTTTTGGTACTCATGATAAGCATAGTAACTCCACTGACTTGTGTGTCTTAATATGTCACCTTTTCACAGAAATGTGAGTTTTAATATATTTTCTATTTGGAAGATAATATTCAATGGGCTTTTAAAATTATTTTTGTCTCTAGCTATCAGACTATGCTTGCTTTAACATCAGTCTGATTCTGATTCCCCGCACCACCCTACTTTCATGGGTTGGTTCTATCACTTTTTCTGCAATCATTTATAAAAAATCCTGTTTGCCTCTAAAAAGAGCTAACAGGAGTTGTATCAAATGAAACAGAGAACATAAAATAATTCTGTGGATTTTTTTGTCAGAGAGCAGATGTGTGTTAAAGCATGCCCTAAGGATATTTGTATGTGTATAAAGCAGAACCATAAAAATAACTGATTTTAAAATAACACAATAAGAAATTGGTTCTGTGATTTTCATTTCATATCTTTTTGCTCTTTTTGGTATAAAAAAAAGATTAAAGTTAAAATTGCAAGTGAAGAGTTTTAAAATTATAATAAAAAATTGCATCTAAGATTAGAATAATAACTTTATTACATGTACATTTTCTTAGGAGAAGTTTCATTCCAATTCAGTGATAATGCAAAAATTGTATCTCTAACTAAACTCTGGTTTTGCCCAAGGTTTTCTGAGGGAGTCTGAATAAATATATTTTTTTTGTTTGTATGAAGAAAAAAAAATAAAAGGAGTATTTTCTAAATTCTCATGTAGGCTATTTCTCATTTTTCTGCAGAAAAGGTTGCTGTTCTGTTGAAGTACTAAATCAGCACTCAGACCCTTATTTCCAATGCTATAACCTACTACTTTGGCTTGGGCTATTACTGTTCTATATTTGACTTTAAAGAAAGACAGATGTATATTGCTTTAACATAACATATCTTGTTCAAACAGTTTTAATAGATTAGGCAGTAAAATTAATCTGAAATTAAATATGACAAGGAAAATTTTGTTCATTGTCAGCTTTGTGTTTCTTTCCAGCTCTGATGAAGTTAAAAGGATTGTAGTTGCCTAATGTGTTTTGAGTTTGTGCATTGTTTCCAAGACGTGCTGCAAGCAGCTAAAACAACTAATGTTACTGCTTTTGCTTTTACTTTGCAGTGTTCCTTTAATATCTTATGGAGCTGAAGCTGAGACCTTTCTTCTCACTTCTTCTGCAGTGGCTGGAAGAGTTCTTCCAACAAATATCAGGCCTTTGGAAAACTTTGGTAAACTTTTTTTTTGTAAGTTTTCTTTATAGCTCATGTGGAGTATTCTTAAGATATGATTATCAGAAATCAAACAGAGTTAGTTACTCTTAATGAGGAAAAAAAAATCTGTTTTGATGCAGTTTGTTACTATTTCAAAGTCAGCTACTTAATTTCTGAAATTGAAATACAGAACATGAATCGTCCACCCCAAAGCTGGTATAACTTGTTCTTTTGAAGATTAAATTAATAAGTATTTATGTAACTTAATTACATTTCTAATTGCAACATTTTTTCCATTCGTGCTCTTTCTTAATTTCCCATTGTTTGAGGATAAAGCTTATTTTGATGCATTATGAATGGCATATTTCAGAGGTATATTGTGCAGTGTGAGGAACAAACCTTCCTAGCGGAGAAGAACATGAGTCAGGAAGCAGTGAAGTGCATGGATCTCTTTCAGTACCTACAAATTTGACAGGGCAAAACCGTGCTAAAGAACTGGAGCGCCATGGTCTGTCAGGAAAGCTGCAGAAGACAAGACATGGAAGGAATTGTCTTCCTCCAGTTACTTTAACAGCCTCTGTCTCCATGCTCAGCAAGAATATAATTTCTCTTCCAAAAAGCTGCACAAATTCAAAGAAGTGGAAACAAAGGAGTCCTATTTTATAAGGCTTGGGTTACCTTCTTTGAATTGAGAATCACACCACTTTCACTTGTCTAGTAGGCAAAGAGATAGGACAGATTTGGGTCTCCTGGCTTATGAAAATTCTGTGGAAATAAATTGCTGGAAGGGATTAAGTAGTAGAAGGATCATTAAAAAGTTGCATTCATATTCTTTATTCTTTTCAAAGCTATATATTTCACCTCCACATTTCCCAGTGAAAAATTGATAGGTTGCTTCCTCAGGTCTCTGATGTTTGGCAGTGCAATGTAACAGATCCTTAACCATTTTGCTTCTAGAAATATACATGTTAGCTTGTACTTCTTGAATTCCCTCTCTACTCTTCCACTTCTATAGTCAAGCTTTTTTGTTAGGAGGCACCAGAAACATTAAAAAATTGTGTTTAGAAAAGAATCTTGTCAGTTGTCTTGGTTAGAATTTTGATACTTGTACTGTGGACAAAGATTGAATTTTAAGATTAATGCCAACATACTACAGTGTTTTACGAGTCAAAGTTTTAAGTCATCTTCACATTTTATTTGAATACTTTCTATTGATAAGGAGCATGCAGGAAGTACTAGTCTTAAAATTTTCCAGGAAAACAAGGGGATGGTGGATATGAAGATGTCCCTTGAGGATTTTAGTCACATTCCTGTTGAGTGAGTGTTCCTACCCCACTTAGCTTTTATATAGCATCTGAATAAAAGGACGACATGCATAAGAAAAGGTAAAGACAAAGGTAAAGAGAAACCTAATCTGGGTATTGTTAGAGATGCACAGCAAATATATATGTATATATATGTGTGTGTATATATATACATATATAAAAGGACACTGACTTTTTAAAAAGGTGGAGAAAAGGAGAATGAAGAAAATAAATGCATTTCTAAAAAGATGCCAATTGGCTCTTTCATTTCTTACCAAATTGTGCCTGAAATATCATAGCATAAGCATTTTTTATTTTCTTTTTACACTCCTCTCAACTTTTGGTCTCACCTAAAGTATACAGTTTTGCATCGGAGTAACAGTTGACACTGGCTTCCAGGGTTGTACAAGGAGGCATATGATGTTTCCCCCCTCTCAGCCCCCTAAATTATCAGGCTAGCCCAGAGATCTGAGACTTTGAGGGGAGGAATATCAGGAGATGGCAAAAATTTCCAAAAGGGGCTCTTAGCCCGATATATGTTGGTTCAGCTTTCTTTATTCTGTGATGTACATGTGGAGAGCGGGGCAGAAGAGGATGAACAGGAAATGTCAGGGGTCTATACAGACTTTGGACAGGGAGGGCTTCCCTGGCTCTCCGCCAACCCCTTTGGGGCAGGAAGGAGGGGTCCAGGGTTATCTTGATCAGAGTCACAGGGTCCTGGGGAAGGGGAAATAGAGTGCCCATGAGCTCACTGTAACAGGCATACAAATATCAGTGATGACCATATAACTGTAGTTCTGAATCATCCCTGTAGCTGCTGCAGTTTTAGTAGTCTGTTACCATTAAATAGTTTGTTTTATTAAGTTGACCTGAAAACACTTCAGTAAATCTACAAATATCACTAAGATTTATGCTGGCATGCAGTTTTTGTGTGATTAAAATATTTTTTACTAAAGAGTCAGTGAGTTGAAATGCCTTTTATTTGGTCCAAGTCCAAAGCTTGTGAAGCTTTTCTGTTAAAATTTTACAAGTAGTAGGGCATGCTAAAAAAGAGTTTGTGCTCCACAGGTAGATTTTGAATGTGCTAGAAAAATAACTCACCTTTTAATTCTGCCCAGATTCCCACATTCCACTTGTGTTTTGCTGGGGTTTTTTTTAATTATTGAGAGATGATTTCTTCTCCCTCGCATAATATTATTACAGATACTAAAATTTGAAATGTCATGTAGCATCTGACTTGATGTCCTGGCTATTGTAATAGCCAGGAAAGGCTATTAAAGACATACTTAGTCTGAGACAGCCACATGTTGCTGAGTAAGTGCTGCTCAACCACTGAAAAGTCCGTTCGTAATGAAATGATTGGTGAGACTGTTAGAGTAGATACCTGAAATAGTGTCAGTCACCTGAAATGCCTCTGGAAGTTCTTTACCATCATGTTATTTTCTTTTAAACACATGGTACCTTCTATGCAGTTGATGTTGGTTTTCATTTTCTCAAGTGATTATTTGGTCATTGGATATTTAAAATCCAGAACCAGTACTTTTTTTTTTTATGTTCAGGTAAATTATTGTGTGTTTGCAGGGAAGGTCAGAGGAGGTGATTTTAGTCCTGTACCCTTTTAAAAGCTAGCAAGATGGTTATGGAATTTATTCTGTTGAGATTGAGATTATTGTTTACATGTAATACAGTGATAAGTTGTTTTGTTCTACTAATAAATTAGTAAGTATTAGCAAGAGGCTTTTTTGCAGTTACTTAGTTTTCTTATTCCAATCTCTTCTAAAATATGTTTGTGAATACATTAGCCAAATATTTTACTGTAGCAAAAGCATGGGACATAATGTACAGAGTTAAAATCACATGTTTGTGATGTGAGAGATTTATTGCAAAATCCACAGCAATTAATCTATCTTAGTTTGCACTGTTCATGTATGAAATTGAAGCTGTGAAAGAATTAATTTTAACACCACATCCTTGATGCCTCCTGAAATCTACACAAAGTATGAAATAAATTTATAGACATCTCAAGAAATTAATTTAGTTCTGAAGTATTACATTCTTCTTATTACATTTACTTAATTATCATTAATCTTTAGTTCCTGAGCTGTCCAACAGAAACTCTCATAGCTGACAGTGCAGTCTTTCCTGTGCAGTGAATATAACCCTTAGCTTCCCTACCAAGACTTTTGTTGGATGGTAAATGGCATGAAATAAATTAGTGCAGTATCAACACAAGAGCTGAGCTGCTTGCTAGGTGTGCCTTAGTCATTCTTCGTAGAGCTTTTGTTTTTTTGATGTACTGTAGGCTGCACACTGTAGGTGCTGCTGGCACCATGGATGTCTTGTGGCAGAGTTTAAGTTCCATTTGCCCTATAACTGGTGCCCTATAACTCATGAATAAGTTTTCACTGTCATTGTTGTGTCTGATCAACTGCTGTGCATGTGATCATCCACTGATGGCCACTGGAAGATGTCCCTTTCTCTACTACCGCACTTCACTGTCAACAAGCCTGTGTTATAGAGTGACAGGAACTGATGCATGCTAACACTGCTGTGTGGTTGATTCATTACTTTCTAACAGCTTAAGCTTTGAGCAGCTGTTTCATAAATAACAAAAAACAGTTTCATATAGCCATGACAGCACTACTTCTAAACTGTGTTCAGATGTCTGATGTATCACTTAACTTGTTTCTGTTCTTTAAAACAACCAGTTCTCATTTAAAAAAGTAAAAAAGCTGTGGTAGTATTACATACTAAATCTTAAATTGTATTATTTGAGGATATCTGTTATGCTGCAGAAGGCCCTTTTACATTCTTAAATATGTTCAGATAAATGGTTATTATCAAATCTTAATGTCTTCTGTTTTTATTAGGATGTTTAGGCAAAGGATATGCTGTTGCATGTACCCAAGAAGGAGAAGAGAAAAAGGAAGCTTCTGGTTCATCTGGCACTAGAGGAAGTAGGAGGAAATCAGTTGCTACTACTCCTACAAGAAGGTCTGCACGAAACAGCAAAAATGAGGCTCTGACTCAGTCTCGCAGCTCCCCTCGATCAAGCAGTTCTACTTGCAGTGCCCCTGAAAGCAATAACCCATCTCTGAATAAAGCTCATTCAGAAGCAGAGAATGCTCCTCCAAAATGCAAGTCTAAAAGAGCAGTTAAACAACAAACACCCGCAGTTAAAAAGAAACTGAGAAGTTCTGCACGTTCTGAAAAGTCACCCTGTGGCTCAGTGGAAGATGATGACATTGCTGAGCCTGAAGCAGTCTTAACTTTAGATAAAGACCACCAGTCAGATAATGAAAGCAATAATGCAGACTTCCTACAGAAGAATAATGTAGAAACAGAATCTGCTAATGGATTGGAAAGCTGTAGTGAGCATGCAGAAATTGAGGAAACTATAGGAGAATGTGACAGAGATGAAGACACTTCAGGGAATGCAGATGTTAGTTTTTCTCTCCAAGAACCCCCAGTACTAACTTCAGGAAGTGAAAGTCAGGAATTTAAAGTAAAAGAAGCTACTGAAAAAAATGCAGATCTTGCGAGTCTGGACAGTTGTGAAAATACTCTTGAACAAGTGGAAACAGTAGCTAGTCCCAAAGATGATGTATGCAATCATGCAACTTCTGAAAAAGTAGATCAGACATCATGTAGTCCTCAAAAAGAATTAATGGAGAACATAGAAACTTTGACAAAACTAGATCAACCCATAGCTAGTCCAGAAAATGAATTGTTGGAACATTTGGAACCTCTGGGAAAAGATCAGCCATTGGAGAGCCCCAGAAGTGAATTGCCTGAGCATCCTGAAGCCATGGAAACAGATAATTCTGAGACTGATCTAAAACCAGTAGTAGACTGTGCAAATACAAAACCTATTCAAGATAAAGAACCTGATGCATTAATACACAGTATTTCTATGGACAGTATGTCAGAACAGCCCTTAAAAGAGAACATTTCAGAAAGTGAAGAGGGTGGAACTTCAGAGTCACTCCCAGTAAATGCTGAACATAAACATTTTGGTGAAGATAACAATGAAATGATACCAATGGACTGTGACTCATTTTGCAGTGACCAGAATGAACCTAAGATCGAACAGTTACTACCACCTGAAAGTACAGAAGGAGACATGAATTCCTTAGAGTGTGATGTCGGAAACTCTGTATCTGGTTCTGATGAAAAAGATGAAACTGTTCCTCAAGCAAGGGAGTGCCAGCCAGAGCTCAAAAAAGAGAAAAAGTCTCGAACTAGAAGATCTAGATTTCACTCTCCATCGACAACATGGTCTCCGTCTGGGAGAGAGGGCAAGAAATCTCAATCACCATCCCCTAAAAGGGAGACGTCTGGAGACAGGAGCTCACGATCACCCAAGAAGGTACTTGTGAAGGAGGGAAGAAGATCCTTATCTTGTTCTCCAAAGAGAGACACACTCAGAGATGAGAAAAAAACACCATCTCGATCTCCCAAAAGGGAAACTGTCAGGGAAAGCAGGAGATCATCTTCTCGATCACGAACTAAGGATTCATCTCCAAGGCGAAAATCTAGGTCTCGAAGCAGTGATAGAGATAATCAAAGAAGAGATCGTGACAGAGAAAGAAGAAATAGGAGGTGGTCTAGGTCACAGTCACGCTCTAGATCAAGATCACGATCTAGGACTAGAAATAAAGGTTCTTCATTCACTAGAAATGAGAGGGAAAGTCAGTCACCTCGATGGAAAGAGAGATGGGCAAATGACAGCTGGAGAAGTCCCAGAGGAAATGAGCGACACAGGAGAAGCGATCAAGAGAAACAGAGTGAAAATCTTAAAAAAGAGAAGGACAATAATACAGAAAAAAGCAATGATGATCTGTGTTCTTCAGATAAGCAGAGGAATGATTGTCCAGACTGGGTAATGGAGAGAATAAACTCTGTTCCTGATGCCAGGAACAGAGAGAGAGAGAAACCACATTGGGAAGAGGGCAGGCATGATAATGCAGGACAGCCTTGGAATAAAAACTTTGGTTCGAGTTGGATTCCAAATCGAGGAAGAGGTCAGCGTGGCCGAGGTGGCCGTGGCCGAGGTGGTTTCATGTGTGGAGACCAGAGTGAAAGTCACTGGCAAAACAGAAAACCTCTCTCAGGGAACTCAGATTGTTCTGGGAATGAAGCTTCAAGGTTCTCAGAACAGCAGCCATGCAAGCGTAAGAATGAACAAGAGTATTCGTTCGATACACCTGCTGACAGGTCTGGGTGGACATCTGCGTCCAGCTGGGCTGTGAGGAAGACTTTACCTGCTGATGTGCAGAATTATTATTCGAGAAGGGGACGCAATTCATCAAGCCCACAGTCTGGATGGGGAATGAGACAAGAAGAGGAGACACCTGAACAAGGTATTAATGGTTTTGAAGTATAATAGTTTAGTTACAGTTGCAGTAGCTGAGCAAAATCCTGTCACATTGTCCTGTGATCTGATCTGCTGATAAGTTCTTTAAAAAATTGTTTGAGGTGAATCCATACTCTTTTTGCGATATGGAGGGGTAAAGGTGGAGTTTGGTGATTTCTTGTATTTTGATGGCTTCTTGGTTTTGCATACAGCCCAAGTTCAGTTTTAAGGACTGTGCATCTGAAGTAAATTTATTTGGCTGAAGAGAAAGCATTATCTTCATAGTTACTTTTAGCATCTGCACAACTTTAAAAAGACTAATTCGTTTCAACAAGACATGAATTTGCCTGTGCAGACCCATATGGCAAATTTTAGAGATGACCAAGCAGCATGTTGATGTTTATTTTGCTCCTAGATAAGCATAGTCCTGTTTAAATGCTTTAAAAACATCTAGGGTGATTTATAAATAAAAAGCCAGTGCCTTTACTATATTTTAGTTTTAAAATTCCTCCAAAATGTTAATATAAGTCTAAATAAGTTTTTGGAGGGGTTTTTATATCTAAAAGACAACTGCCCTGACAGAAACAAACTTTTTGGTAGAAAGTAAGTTAACTGAACTGTGGGTGGGATTGATTCTGAATAGCTAAGAAGTCATCCACAGATTATTAATACCCTGATTGATAATCTTTAAAGATAGATGTGAATTGAATTCAAGAACTATGAAATCTGTTTCTGAGGACAACTATACTTTCACACTTGCACTCTCCTCTTGTTTTGCCTTTCATTTTTAGCCATTTTCATCTGATATGCAAGCAGTTTTCTCACTCTTCTGAGAGATAACTGCATCAGTGGCTTCCTAGTTTTGAGGCAACCCTTCTATCTGCTGCAGGGAAAACTTACCAAATCTGTAACTGAAAACATTTTGTGATTCAAAGACTTTTTCGTGTCGTTCAGGAACTGTCATGCACATTCACTATTAGAAGCTGAGAATAGTACAACAGTGTCTGATAGCTGGATAAAACAGGCTAGGCTGCCATCATGACATGGTCCTCTGGGGCAATCTGCTTTTGCTGACCCTGCTTGAGCAGGGAGGCTGGACCAGAGAGTCTCAATAGGTCCCTTCCAACCTCAGTGATTCTGTTACCCCATTATCTTTAAAAATGAGGATTTGGGCTGACATGTAAGGCCTTAGATTGCGATCCCTGTGAATTAGATGACAGGGTTCCTCATGGAAGGGATTCTAAGGAAGGACATCTAAATTGCAGCCTATCAATCATTTCTTCAAACTAATTTATTGACTTCTGGAAGGCTTGCTGCTTGTGTCTAGATTTTAACTTTTTGGCTTCTGTTGAAGAGAAGATGGGATAGCAAAGTAATTTATTTAAGAAGTGCTACCTGCTACCCCAAGAGGTTATTTTTACTTCTAGGTTTTGCCTGTTGTAACATTATGGGGTTTTTGAACAAGTCTTTCCAAATATGAATATCTCTTAAATGGTTTGAGGATAACTTATTCCTCAGCGTGAACAATCCTAGCAGAGTATTTTTGTAATTACCAGAACTGTACAGTGAGTGTGTGTGAAGCAGGAGGAGAAACTTGCTGATGTAGTAATGTGTGACTAACCTTCTGCAATTGCAGAAGGTAAATTTAATGGGTAAATTATGTTGTCTTCCTGCTTTTTGGTGAAAATGTCAGTTTCATTGTGATGAAATAATTTATTGGATTTATTATGGGAACAAGTAGAGGAAACAAATTCAAAATGCAGGCTTTCTTAGTAACCTGAACTTTTTAAACTTGGAAACTAGCATTTGGTTTCATGGCATGTGTGGTGGTGAGTGCTGTGCAATATCTTGAAAATACTCAGAGTATAGAAAGCTTTTTAATAATCCATCTTTAATTAAAAGTTTAGACACCTGGCTCCCATTTTGCTTTATGAAGTACAGAATTTCTTCTTGATATACTGTCTGGTCTTTGTTTTGACAGATCCAAACCTCAAAGACCAAGGCAACAAGCAAAATGATGGTTCTCAGTTACCACTAAATGTGATGCAGCAACAAATGAATGTAATGCCACAACTGAATGCACAGCACCAACCTATGAATATCTTCCCATATCCAGTGGGTGTCCATCCTCCCTTGATGAATATGCAACGAAATCCTTTCAACATCCACCCTCCAATGCCCATGCATCTCCCTGCTGGAGTGCCTCTCATACAGGTAGCTGCTCCCACAAATATTTCTCAGGGATTACCTCCGCCTCCACCTCCACCCCCACCATCTCAACAAGTCAACTACATTGCTTCACAGCAAGATGGAAAACAATTGCAGGTATGCTTTATCAGAAGCCATGGCAAGAACAATGGTGAAATAATACCAGTTAAGGATTCTTTATCTTGAATACCATTAATTTATACTTGCAGTTTCTTTCTCTCTTGCCTGTTTTTTTCCACCCTCCACCAAATTTGAAGTGGAAGCATCCATGAGCATGTGGGTTGTATCTTTTAAATAATAACGACACACAGCATCATAACCAGCTTTCTGTGGTAATGGAACACTGAAAAATTTCATCAGTGTTGTCCATTGTCTTTTTTATCTTAGAAGTTACCTGCTTCCAAAATTAAATTTTCCCCTTTTAAACCTGATTTTTAAGCATTTTAGGAAATGGCTTGAATACAATTTCAGGAGCATGTAGGAAGTGATCTAAACTTTTGTGGTGCAGTTCTCATCCCATGGGGGTCTATCAGCAGAGGAAAATTGCCAAGTAGTGCATGGCACCCATTTGTTCCACACTTCCATTCTCCAGCTGTCACCATCTCAGTGGCTTCCCCCACACACACATTTTTTATTCTGAATAATCTTTTGAGCCTTTTTATTAATAAGTTCTAAGGCCTCTTTGGTGTTTTACTTCTGCCTTCTTTCCTGATTCTCCTGGTTTTGCATGCCCTGTTTGAGACCTAACTCCCACTTTATTTCTCCAGTTTCAAAAAGACTGCCATTCTTAGGGCAGGTCAGACAATCTTTTTATGTGTAGCTGGCTGTTCATATTAAGAGCTTTTGTATCAAGGAATAGAATATGAACAACTTGGAGGAGAACCCATGGCCCTGCAAGAAGATGTAGTGCTGCATTTATGATAAGTAAAGGGCTCTTCAGGAGTTGACTGGGGTTTGTTCTTTTCTTTTGCTGCTGCATGTTCTAACCTAAACCATTTTACCCTACATTCCAGGTTGAAAAAGTGTGCAGACAATTTCTAACCCTCTGCTTTCATGTATCATCTCTAAAGATCTGAAGTGAACTGATAAATGACCTACATTGTTCTCATTTTTCATGGCTGTCATCTGTTTATAGTCATTAACTTAGAACAAGGAGAGTTGAGTGCTGTGGGAAATACTTAGTGGGGTTACAGGCCATATGAAATAACTTAATACACTGCAAAGTAAACCAGCAAGGTACTGCTGGAACTAAAATGCTGGTAGATTTCTTGTTGATTTAATTAGTTCCTTCTGTCTTAATTAAAATATTTTCACAATTGGAAATCCAGTTGATTTAGCCTCCAAAAATGTAAGTCAGAACATAGGCTTCAGACCTCTGAAATGAGTATCTAGTGCAGCAGTATGTTTCTGTAAAGACTGTATTGCTGCAAAACACAGTTACCTGTTGTAAAGCCCATGTTACACTTTTTGCTCTTACCTGCTTTTGTGGACTGGTGTCCATGAACCTGAATGCTCTTGCAGTTGCTGCTTCTTTTCCTTTGAGCTTTCATTCAACAGCCCCTCAGTGGTAGCACAATAGAAATGGCTGAATTCTGCAGGACACCACCTGTCCTTCCTGTTGAAAGGAAAATGAAGACAGCACACTGGTGAGCGTTAGCATGCTGATTAACAGCTCTATTTCTATGTCCTTTCCAAAGAGCTCAGATTCCCGTTTCATTATTTTCCATCTAGATAAATGCAGATGCCTAAAGAGTAATGGTGATGACCTGCAAAAAAGCAGTGTTTAGTGTAGCCTGCCAGAAACATGTCAGGAGGACGTTCTAGGCTTTTGCTAAAAGTGGTCTCTATCTGAAGTCTGAGAGCTACTTAATTTCTCAGTTCCAAAGTATGTATAGTACCTTTTGGTGATGTTTGGAAATGGCCAGAAAATGGCTTTTCCTGAAAAACAGATCCTGGTACTTCAGTCAGCATTTCATCTCTTGCCTATATATTTATATTTACAAGCTCAAGCTTATAACAGACATGAAAATAGATGTTTTCAAAGCAGCATCATTATGATGCAGGAATGCAAGTGTGGCTTTGGGTGGTACCTTTTGTATGTGTGTTTAGGTGCTGATTTTTTTTTTTAGAAAATGTTTACTTATCACGACCCTCTTTTGCAAATCAGATTGATTCTGCAGCCATAAACTTCCTTTTCCCTGTACTAACACCCTCCGTGCCTGTTTGCAGGTATTTTATTACTGGGATCAGTGCTAGAAAATGGCAGCCGTTGTGGTGACATGGAAGATGCTTTACTTTTCAAGCTTTTCTTTTTGTTTTTTTCTTTTGAGCAGATCTAATGTAATGTGTTTACCTTCCATAATAATAGACAGTGTGGAACTTAGGTAATGAACCCAAGCATGCAGTATTTATGCTTGTTCTAGAGCAGCTGAGACTCCTAGAAAGGCACATTGCCATATAGAAGAATGATGTATTAACTACTGATAACTTTTTAAAACAGGGTATTCCAAATGCTTCTCACATAAGTAACAGCATGAGTGCTACAGCTTTGCCTGCTCCAGCAGCATTCCTGGGAAACGTGGGAACAGTTCAGGGACCAAATTCGGGTAATGCAACATCATCAGGTCACATGAAGAGCTCTAATGCAGCTGTAAAACCGGGAGAAAACAAAGCAAGTGTAACAGTGGAAGCCAGTGCAGATAGCTCGAAGAAGGACCAGGCAAGTTCAAAGTTCAGCATATATTTTATATACACTGTTTATATATTTATATTAAAACATATAAAATTTAATTTTTATGTAAATGCATTTTGATGTACTAAAAAATAGCAAGTTATAACAATAACCCCTCAGTGTAATATACTCCATACCATCATGTATGTAATATTTTTGTGGCAACCATAAGACACAGATTAGCTTCTGACTCTTTTTAATGGAGCCTTCTTTAAAGCAGCACTATTATAAATATTACTTGAATTGCTGTGGGAAAATGCTCTGTGCTTAGCAGAGCATAGGCAGCTCCCATGAGAGCTGAAATGTGTGTGTGGGGGGTGGTTTTCTAATCTTCTGTAACAACCTTTTTCCTATAAAGTTTTAACTTGTGATTGATAAAGATACATAGGCAGTGAAATGTAACACTCAAGTTTGTTTTCTCTTCAGAAATTGTTAATTCAAGAAAAAGCAGCACAAGAGGTCAAGCTCGCGATTAAACCTTTCTACCAGAACAAAGATATCACTAAGGAGGAATACAAAGAAATTGTGCGGAAAGCTGTAGATAAAGTAAGTTGGTCCAGTAATCCAAGCTGCACACATTTCACCCTGGGGCAAGCTTTGGGGTGGGTTTCTTGTTTTTGTGGGAACAGTTCATAGTTCTGGAAAGGGGGAGGATGGAGAAGCAAAAATACCTTTCTTCTTTCTCCATCCACAAGAGCTTTCTTTGGCTTCTCAGAACAGAACCTGGTTATTGTGTGGAAGACTTGAATGGGAATTCAGAAGTATTTGGGAAGCAATTGGAAAGTATTAGGAGTTTTAAAATATGTTTAGCCTGGGATGGAAGAATCAGAAGTGTCGGGAAATAAATGAATAATTTGGGACTGTGGCAAATCAGTGGAAATGTTTCAAACATTTTTGTTCTTTAAATCATTGCAGGTTTGTCATAGCAAGAGCGGAGAAGTTAATTCTGCAAAAGTGGCAAATCTAGTGAAAGCATATGTAGACAAATACAAGCATTCACGGAAGAAAAATCCTGAAGAGGCAGTCTCCTGTGAAAGGAAATAGAATATGTTTTCATTTTGTAGTTTTATTCTATCTACAAAGTGCAATTTCATTGAGAACTGTTAACTGAAAATTGTACATGACAGTGATTTGAATTTGTTTTGATAAAACTATTTTTCAAGGTAGTGTATAATGTTTTGTTCTAAAGAAATATAGATCTGCAGGGCAACTTCTTTATTCCTTTTTAAGAACAGATTTCTAAAAAGCATAAAGGTGTAAAGAAGAATCATTAGGAATGTACGATTGTGTGGATACTTAGATGTACAGCATTTTGACTTGAATAAGAGAGTGCATTAACTTAGAAACTTCACATACGTTGGGTTTGGAACAGGTATGTACAGTACATGTGATCAGTCAGATTAAAGTAAAATTTTTCTTTTTATTGTTCCCTAATTATAGCAAAGATTAAATAATTGCCTTGACAAATATTTCTAGTGTTAACTGGACAGGCTGAATGCAGGGGTCACAATGTGTATATTAAAAAACACATAGAGTTGTCTGAACACAACTGTTTAGATTTCAAAAAGAAAAGTCATAAACAGTAAAATATGGTGCCCAAAAGCATGGGTGCTGCACAGCTGTTGTAACACCAAATAAAAATTATGCTGCTTGGTATTGTTTGTGATGTTTTTCAATTTGTTTCAAGATAGTGGGATAACCTGAATAATTTTTGTGTGTTGAAAGCCCTCAGTCACTACACACTGATAACCTCAGTTTAGGTTATGCCCTTAGGCTAGCAGGAAATTGGTGTACCAAAGCTAGATGTTCAGAAACAGAAGTTTCTTCTTCAAGTAAAATTAATAAAGCTGGAATTTATTGTTAGGTTCTCAGTTGACCAGAGACTGCCAGTTGTGCCAATCTCAGCTGCATAATACTTTTCTCCATTAATTAGGGACTGTGGCATGAAGCACCAGGCTGGAATTGGTGAGCCCGTGCCACTGGAAGCCAAGTGTCTTCCTGCTTCCCTGAGCACTGGAGAGAAGTTATTAGACGTACCACAAGCATTCTAAAAACAGCTGTCAGGTCACTGAATGTGCCTGGGGAAAGCTTACACCTCAGGTAAAACCAGTTTTACTGGGGCAGCAGCAAGGAGGGTTGCTGGAATACTGAGATCACCATGTGCTCCTTAGTGAAAGAACAGCTTGAGATCCTTCCCAAAGGAGTCTTACTCTGCTTTGTTCCTTACTCTTACACAGTGCTATTAAAATCTTGTCACTAACCCTCTAGTCCTGTTGTGCCGTAACAGCCTTTTGTTGTTGGAGCAGCCTGGCTTCTGCTCCAGCCCAAAGCCTCCTGGCCCAGAAGCAGGAATAAAACATTTTAACAGAAGGTATCAGTTGACTTTTCTGAGGAATTATCTCTTTGTTGCCAGTAGTTACCTGTTTTTGGCAGAAAACAGTCTCACCTTTTAAGTAACTTTGTCAGAAGCCTGAGGATGACATAAGGGATATCCACCCCTGTGTACACGTGTGGTGTAGAGAGAGGTGTGAAAGCGTGATGTTTGTCACAACAGTTGATTGCTTGGTTTTAACTATAAGTTTCTGCAGACTTAATGAAGCATTTGACTGTCTATATTTATTTTTGTGTGCCTAAATACAAATGCTATGTAAATTAGAAACAGATATAATACATTTTCTACAGTCAAGTCAGGTTTTAGGCTTTTCAATATACTGAGTTTTACATTATGATAGCAATTTGTAAGATCTCTTGAATTATTTTAAGCTAAAATTGGTTAGCACTTTTTGAAAAATGTAGCAAATTGCTATATGTATCCTGGTTTAGCACGCCATGCGTACCTTATTACATTTTCCTTCTCTGAATTTTGGATTTTAATCACTTTTTATATCTTTTTCTAGTCTATACAGTTGAGCCTTGCTATAAAGCTCCTTTCAGGAGTCAGATAAGTGCTTCAAGGGGTTTTTTTCCTCTTTTGGAAGAGAGGTGGAAATTGGGGGAGGTGGGAAGAAACAAGGGAGGATATGAATTGTGAGGGGTCATTATTTTTTTGTTTTGAAGATCCTGGGTGGAAGAGAAGCTGTCACTGTCTACCACATTGTTGGGGAAGTGACTATAGTGATGCTCCACTGTATTTCAAAACCTAATGAAGAATACCAAATAGAGTAGCATGTGGTCAGTAACTTTATTTTTTACAGTTAAATACTTCAGAATTTATCAGAAAATATGCAGTTTGTTACAATTTCTATGTTGAATTAAAGAAATGTATTGCCTTAATCTGTAGACTTTGCTCCTGTTTCTCCCAAAAAGCAGCAAGGTGTCTGCTGGTACAGCTGCATGAGAAGGGGAGTATGGCAACCTCAGAGTCTTGGTTGTGTTCCAGTAGGATGAAAGGTGTATTTCTATTTACTGAAACACCTTCTACTGAAACATCCCAACATGCACCAGCACTGAGGGCAGAGGTGGGGAGCTGAGCCCCTGTGCTGCCTCCAGGGTAATAGTGATTCCTTCAATCCAAACTACCTTGTGGGAAACAATTACAAAAGTGTACCTTCTGTGAACTTATGCAAATCAAGAGTGTTTTCCTTGCACTCCTTTTCTCACTGTGCATGCTGCTTGAATGTCTCATCCTAAAGATAAACCTTTACAAGCACGGTGGCTGTCCAAAGTCCACAGTACTGTGTATGTAGGCTGGAGTGCTGTCTACTGAAAAAAATATTCTAAAATTTAGTTTTGTGTAGTGTTTAAAAGTTTCTAATAAATTCTTTTCTCTCAGCTGGCAGTGTTTGGTTTTAAATGACTTTCACTCAAGTGGTGTGGTTTGGAAAGTAAGGTAGCTCCTGTTCCTTCTGTGCACATGCATTTATCTTGTCCTGTGTTGTTTGAGCACCCCCTCCTTTGTTTTAAATGAGTCTTCACCCTGCCTTGCCAGTCTGCAGGTGCTCCAAGCTAGAAAAAGCAGATGCAAGTGGCAAAGAGTCTATTCACCCTGGGACTTGCAAAACATCGAGGGGTTCAGGGTGCGAGTGGAATACTGCTGTGGGAAGCAAACAGGGCAGGATCCAAACCCTGGGCATGCCCTGCCTAAACACGGAGCAGCTTAACTGAAATACCCTCGGAGAATTTTAGTGCAGGAGAGCTGGCCTGCCTTGGGATCAAAATTCCAGGCATCCCTTTGCTTCCACGAGTTGCCTCCACTGTACCTTCATGAGGTAGCTCCGTAGGTAAGGTTGGCACAGGTTGTGAGAGTTACAGTTAAGGAGCTATGCTGGCAACATTTTTCATTGTTACTATACCCTACAATAGTCACGTTGATCATCAATTGATAAATAGTAGAGATGACAGTAAGGACAATAAAATGTATCACCAATTTCAGTAATTGAAGAGTACTAATTATGTACTAATTATTACTAATGGAGTGTCTTTGAACATTTTTGTTTAAAGTTTCTAATCTCTAGGTTAATAAGAAAACCACCAAGAGCACAAGTAACTACTTGTATAGAAGGAGATGAAGCTCTGGAAAAGCACAGGCTGGGATCTAGAACTTGACTTAAAGTTGACTCTTCCAATATTACTCACAACTCCCAGACTCACCCACCAACAATAAAGCTCAACCTGATCTTATCAGCAATGAAGTCAGTGGCCATTACACATAGTAAACATTCAAAGCCAGAGTGTAATCCAACACAAACTACTGCAGGAACCAAACATGAAATTTTGGCAGCAGGTTGTCACATAATTAGTCCCCAAGTTCTGAAGAAATTGAAAAGCCACTGAGTATTATAAGGAGCATCAATCAAAAATAGCCAGGCATTTCTTGATCCTTTGGTGCTGTAGCAAGCATTGTGACAGAAAACTCATGGAAGTCAGAGTTCACTGTAAATTCCAGAGCCTTTTACAAAAGTTCAGAAGTTTTGAGGACTAGGAATGTAGCTTACACATGGTCTTGTGTCAAGGCCTGAACCTGGAATCACAGGGTTTTTCCTAGAGGACTATTTAAACAAATATTTCTAATAACAATAGAGCCATATTTGGTACTGGGGAAATACAACACACACCCCGTACATGCAGGCACTGTGGTTATGTGGGTTGGGGTGAGGGATTCCATCTCTGATGTGCTCTGGGTCCATTATGAGTTTAGTTGCAGGTCAGTTGCCTCAAACTTCACAGGAGCCCACTAAGGCCAGCAGGAAAATGAATGAGGGTGCAAGCTCCTGTCCTAGAGAATGTGTCTTGTACCTTGTGATGCACCACATAAATCTGTTGTAAACAATAAAAACACAAAATGTCCTGTCCAAAGGTCAGGACAGCCAGACTTTGGTGTAAAAGAAAAGTTTACTGTTGGCCAGGACAGCAACTTTCTTGTGGACATGCAGGCTCAAAACCCCTTAAGAACAAAACCTACCTACTCACTCAGACTGCAGTTTGCAGGCAAATCCCCCTTAGACCAGCTGTCCAAGAGCCTACCCAACATCACAGCACAAGACAGCCTTTACCATCGTTCACCTTTATGAGATTTTTGTTACTCTAATATTGCATTTCTATTCACCTGCAGTAAATCAGCTGTTTTCAAAGGTTTGGCTCAGATTGCTCTCTGGTTATTTTACCAAAGATAGAGAGAAGCCAAGACCCAAGTGATGATTCTGATACAAACAGGTGAAAACCAGCAGGCCTCTAAAATCAAGATGGCTTTGAAGTAGTATTAACTTAAGATATTGCCATCCCACCACAAACTGGTGATAACTTTACTCATTAGAGTCAACCTTAAATTGTCTGCCACTTGAAAATGATTCATGAATTTAAGCTCCTCTGTGAAATCCCCCACATTCATTCTCTTAGGGGAACCGCTGTGCTAGTTTTGCATTAATTGGAATTTGGTGAGGAGGGAAGAAATTAATGAACCAAAACCAGCTCCAGACAGCTACTCTGTCCCTGCAGAGCTGCAGCCCCACCTGCTGCAGCTGCAGCCTCTGCCACACAGAACACTGAGCTCCCTCAGCTCGCTGCCTCTGCAGCCTGCACACACATCCCCTGATCCAGCAAGCCAAGGGACATCAGCCATGGAGCTCTCTGTGCCCACTCATGCAAGGAATGTTCAACAGCCCAGTTACTACCCGGTAGAAAAGGCAGAGGGAGGAAGCACAATGGGATGAGTACACGTGTCTGCAGCTGTTGCATGTTAGCAGATCCTGGCCTGTGATGGGAACTGAATTCACACCTCAACTACATGCTCTGGGGCTTCTCCCTCCAGGTCACCCCCACTTTGATGTTTGAAACTAGCAAGAAAAAAATGGGAACAGTGTATTTTTAGTAGTAATAAAATTATTCAAATCCAGGATGTGCTTTGCCCCAAAATGTCGGTAAGGCAGGCAGTCATTAACACCAATGGCTGTGCAGTTCTGCCCTGCCATCACGCTCTATGCAGGGAACACCACGAACTGCACCATCAAGCAGAGCTGAGCAGAAAGTAATGGGAAAAAGAGCACATCTAGAGGTGATCAACTGCAGCACAGCTCCTCCTTCCAGGTAAGGGTGATGCAATAGCTTTCAGTGGAGTTAGACCACAGCCCAGCCAAGTGTAGTGTTACTGGGCTGACAGCTTCACAACCCCTAGAGGATTCAGGCTGATGATTGAGGAATAATGTTTACTTCTGCAAGAG